TGTCAGCTACGAATTCTTCGTCCAGGCGTTCACGATTTATGAAGAGCAGATAAGCGATTCCAGAGCTCAGTTCCAAGCAGTGTGTATCATCGCGGGAGCGCTTCATGAAAGTCGGAACTTCAGCCGTGAGAACTACGATGCTCTGATTACGAAATGTGCACAACATGGTAGTAAATTACTCAAGAAGCCAGATCAGTGCCGAGCAGTGTATTTGGCGAGTCATCTCTGGTGGGCTGTGCCGATTACTGCCAAAGGAGAAGCAGATGACGAGAAGAATGTGAGTGCATGCAACGGATGTCACGGAATCCTGCTAATATATGTAGCTCTACCGCGATGGCAAAAGAGTCCTGGAGTGCTTGCAACGCGCGCTTAGAGTGGCAGATACCTGCATGGACACTGCGGTATCAGTTGAGCTCTTTGTTGAGATCCTTAACCGCTATGTCTATTACTTTGATCAGCAGAATGAAGCAGTAAGTTTCTTGAGTTCAAAGTGGCGTTTTGGACTAACAAACCCTCAGATCACAACGAAATACCTCAATGGGCTCATTGAGCTAATCCATTCGAATGTTCAAACCAATCAAGAGTCAGCTACCATGGACCATCCAAAACGCCACTTCCAACGTACGATAGCTTTGATTGCCTCTAGGGAGTACGAAGGAGTTGTTACGTCTGCTCCAAAGTGAATGTGAAGTCTAATCTCTTGGAGCATGGACTTGGAGAGGGAATGCAATTCCCGAACGTTTGTAAGATTTTGTTGGTCAGAGGGGCTCATCGGGTCTCACAGCACTTTGCTAGGACTGTACATTCACACCAGAGCAATTGTGAACACACAAAAAGCACTGGTCTTTACTCAATCTCACTTGAGCAATGGAGTAAAAACGATAGTATGAAGCTAATATCCAAAAAAACAAATTTAAAGTAGAATGGATGAGCAGAAGTGTTATCATGTGACTTCGGCCATTTCGGCTTGAACTTTGACCCCTATTTTTCATGCGCAGTTGGTACGTGGTGATAAGATAGCGGATTAATGAGTACAATCGCTGCACAGTTCTTTTGCAGCTGTATTTAATGATAAAATGTACTTGATCTTCTCATTTATTTGAAAACTTGGAAACTTGTGCTTCAGTAGCTTGGGGTGGAAATCGTGTATTTGTCCAAGTGTTTTAGTAGGATCCAAGCCTGAGCCGAGACTCAAACGCGAATCATAATCAACTCCTCGCCATCGACATCAGCTTCAGGAGTCGAACCACCCATCCACCCATCGCTCATTACTTGACCGCAAAATGCGACTCTCGAACCAGCAGGACTGACGAGCACAATTCCCTTCCCGTCTTCCGTTGACCTCCTTATCCCGCAACCTCTCCGTCTGCCGGCGTACATCTCCAACCATGCCCCCAGACGAGAAACCCAATAAATACGAGCCACTTCCCTCAGTGCCTATACCTACTTACGAAGAAGCCATTGGGTCTTCATCTCGAATCGCCACTCCAGATACCTCGAATGAAACTGCAATTCCCGCAGAGCGTGAAGGGTTGTTAGGGGCGCAAGATGGACTTACATCTGGTCCTACACGACGCCACGGATATCGACCTCCTCCGTCTGTCGAAGAGGCTCGCGATTCCTCGGAAGAACACGCCTCGTTCATAAATCAAGATGCTGAAGTCCTCCTGCGCGACCTTACCGACAGTGAGGATGATGAAGAAGATAGGGTGCGGAGGGAAATGGAGGAGATGGATATCGAAGATGCGCCATCGCGAGACACACAATCAGCGTGGGGGAAACGGATATCAAGTTTAAGCCAGTCATTACATCTTCCATTCCCGTGGAAGTGGAAATTGCGGATAAATCTTCATGTGCCTGAAGGTCTTCGGGGAAGGATAGGGTGGCCAAAGCTGGACGCGAACTTTTGCATTATGTTTGGACGGTTCTTTGCGATTTTGTTAGTGATGGGTGTGATATATTTATTATTTGTCAGTGATGTTTTTACGTCGGCTGCCCAACGAATGGCGGGCCGCCTGTTCGATCCAGAGAGTGTGAGGATACATGTTCAACAGATGGCGGATTCAGATAGGATAAGAGAGCATTTGAGGGCGATCACGGCGAACGATCATCTTGCTGGAACCGAAGGAGATTATGTGCTTGCGCAATATGTAGAAGACCACTTTTTGGCGAGCAAGTTGGAAGAGGTTCGGAAAGAGAGGTTCGACGTGTATCTCAATTATCCCAAAGAGGGAGGAAGGAAGGTGGAGATATTGGGGGCGGATGGAAAGGCGACATGGTCTGCGAAAATCGACGAAGACAATCAGTATAGCGATCCTCCGCGACAGCAAACGCCCGTCTTTCATGGCCATTCGAAATCAGGCGACGTTACTGGTCCATTAATATATGCGAATTACGGGTCGAGAGAAGATTTCAAGCGATTATACGACAGCGGGATTGATACCAAGGGCGCCATTGCGCTTGTCAGATATTATGGAAGTCAAGGAGATAGGGCTTTAAAGGTCAAAGCTGCGGAACTGGCTGGGTTCGCGGCTTGTATAATTTACAGCGATCCGGCCGATGATGGGTTTGTAAAAGGCGAACCTGCTCCACAAGGAAGATTTATGCCGGAGAACGGTGTACAGCGAGGTGCTGTTAGTTTGATGAGCTGGGTAGTTGGTGATGTGCTCACTCCAGGGTGGGGAAGTGTTAAAGGTGCAGAGAGAGTGCCAAAGGAAAATAATCCAGGATTGGTTGGCATTCCAAGTTTACCATTATCTTGGGGAGATGCGAAAAATCTTCTCAAGGCTATCGAAGGGTTCGGACAAGCAGCCCCAGAGGAGTGGGCAGGTGGTATTCCTGATGTAAACTACTGGTCCGGAAACCTTTCGTCGCCCAGGATCCATCTTGTCAACGATCAAGATGAGGTCGATGAGCAGCCTATTTGGAACGTTATGGGCAAAATTAACGGCGTTGAGCAGCAGGAGAAGTCCATAATTATTGGGAATCACAGAGATTCGTGGGTTTATGGAGCAACTGACCCCGGGTCTGGCACTGCTGTCATGCTAGAAGTCATACATATCTTCGGTGATTTGGTTGAGAGGGGATGGAGGCCTTTACGATCAATCGAGTTTGCCTCCTGGGATGGTGAAGAGTACAACCTCATTGGATCTACCGAATATGTCGAAACGAACATACAAAAGCTACGAAATGACGCCTTTGTCTATCTCAACGTCGATGTTGGCGTTGGAGGAACAGAGTTCAAAGCATCTGGAAGTCCCGTGTTTCAAAAGTCCCTCCTTCGAGTACTGAACCGAGTCAGCGATCCTTTCCAAAATGCTACTTTACGAGAATTATGGGATGCTCGCAGTGGCCAACTTGAGGGGCTAGGAGCTGGTAGTGATTATGTTGCTTTCCAAGATATGGCTGGGACCTCCAGTCTTGACTTTGGGTTCGATGGACCAGGCTACCCATATCACTCTGCCTTTGATAACTTTGAATGGATGTCTACCGTTGGCGATCCCGGCTTCGAATATCACAAGATCTTAGCCCAAGCATGGGCCTTGCTCATTCTCGAATACTCAGATCGTCTGGTCTTGCCATTCGACATCTCCGCATATTCAGCGTCACTCACAGCGTGGTCTATGGATCTCGAAAACTGGGTGGGACACAAAGGCGCGAATCAAGATGGAAACGCTCCTTGGTCTATTGATCCACTTCGTAAAGCAGTCCTGCAATTCGCAGTCGAAGCCGAGAAATTCGAGAAATGGGAAGTCGAATGGGATGCGTTAGTGCTGGGCGGTAATGGGTTCGAGAGCGCGGTTACTGGCGAGCATCGGAAGAGTCATAATACACGGATGTCGAATTTCGAAACACATCTGTTGGACTTGGAGGAAGGAGGCGGAGTAAGTCATTTATATTCCATTTAGCTTCGTAATATTTACTGATTTCCTCAAGATTCCAAACCGTACACAATTCAAGCACGTCGTCTTCGGACCACAACTCTGGTCCGGCTACGACGAAGCGTATTTCCCTGCCATTCGAGACGCGGTAGAAGCTGGTGACTGGGCGTTAGCGAAGATGCAAGTCGAGAAGACAGCGAGCATCATCATGCGGGCTGCTAGGAAATTAAATGGCAACTAGCCCAATATCACTCGTAAAGATTAATCAAGCACCCTGGCTTGATAGCCATTGTATATATTTCGGCGCGGTAAACGGGATTTGGCGTTCTGCTGTTGGCATCGCTATGGCGTTTGATACGGGGGGTGTCGCATCGAGCTGATCTTGGATAAATAGTTTCCTTGGGCTCTGCGTGGCTTGTTTTTTTGGGGAGCATTTTATTTGTCGTGTAAGCTAGTAAAAATTATAGGGTACTTGAAATATAAGTATTTCTTATGTTGCCTTGGATGGGTTGTCTGAATTTTGTGTTGGCAGTTGTGATGTTAGTGAGTGTCAAACATGTTGGAGGGTTAAGTAGTAGATCTAGGGTTCGATTAAGTATGCTACTTAACGTTTCAATTCAGCAAATCTCATGCTCTGCGTGACCAGAACTCGCATCATACGGTTATACCTGGATGAGATAGGTTGTGAGACCATCACGCCGAGCTACACGATGATTTTTTCTTTCTCAAAAAGCTCCGTCAATAGAGAGACCCAAGTGCGAAGCACGAATCGAAACGTGATGTAGATATCATCTCGTCTCACGCATTGATAGTTGTAATTAGAATTCGTCTCTGTAGGGGACATGAAAGAGGAGAATCCTGCTCTTCTGAACGAGAGGTACTTGCACTTACTGCGTCCGTGTAAAGTTGTGATGATCACGAGTGGCGGATTCGCTCTTAATTCAGGTCATCTTTGGCTCGAGAGGTAAAAATTAAGTAGAACACAAAACACTTTGCTAGACTAGATGTTGAGCAAGTCAGAATTAGGAATTGTGATGATACATGGTTGAGAGGCGGGACACACCCGGTCAGCATTACCTACTGTATTCTCATCGCGACACTAAAAGTCCAAGGAGAAGTGACATGTAGATATGAATTCTTGATTGTCAGACTGGAACAAAAGAAAAGTTTGACAAGCTCGATTTAACCTTATCATGTCAATATCACAATAAGGCTCATAAGACATGTGTCCACGTATTTCATGCCGCACTCATGTAATCTACTTTCATCCGCCAGCTGATCCACGCTTATTCTATCCTACTTATCACCATTCCACTCTCTTATCCAACTCGAGATTTCAATCTCAATCCAAATTCGATATTGTTTCAATCCCATCCATCTATTCTTGCCGAAACAAATCGACTCCTCAAGTCTATATACGTCATCCCATTAAAATGAACAAACAATAAAAATAACTCCCCTCCGTTGCGGAGTACAGAGGATATAAAATACATACAAAAAAAATGATTCCCATGGGATAAAACATATGCCAGTGTGTATAATTCCAGAACCAGAAGAAACCCCCAACGCCGATGCTATGCGACATGAAGAAAGAAGAAGTTATTTAAACAAACGGTCCTCTCCGCAAGGACGTATCTCGATTTCCAAATGAGACGTCATGTAGTAATATGAAAATGAAAACAGGTTCAGCGTGGTGACTTCAATCATCCTACTTTTCGGAACCCTTCAACACCTAGAGTAGGAACCTCAACCCATCTAAGAGTTGGCACACCTTCTGCTCTTCGTCTTTCGATGAAGTTATTGCATTCCGCGACAATCAATGCCCACTCAGCTAGAGCTCGGCCAGCATACTTAGATCTAGCCATTCGATCTCCCTTATTTGTTTGACTTTCGACAGCCGCTTCAGCATCGCTGGGGTCACGAGGCAGGATTTCTCGACTTATGCCGGGCACTCTGGCACCAAGCCAGGCTTGGGCAGCTGCTGGTAATCGGGGTGGGGACAGGCGTCTTTCTGGGCCTACATTGAATCCCGTTCCTCCTCTTGTGCCAGGCAAATTGCTGTGAGGTGCATGTGGTGGCTGTGGCTTTTCGAAATGCTGGCTCCATTCCAGACTAAATTTGAAGCTGAAGGCTCGGTGTGTACTGGTGGAAGGTGGAGTCTCGCTATCTGTGCTCGAATTCTTAGAATGCATTTGAGGTTTACTACGTGCCAAAGCCGTCTCGCGGCGGGCTTCCTCAAGCGTTTTGACATTAGAAATTGAACCGCTTGGCGTAGCCGATGGAGTAGTATCTGTGCCGGTAAATGGAGACGATAGCGTCTTGCCCATAAAAGTCCATCGCTTCTTGGAAGAAGGCGGGGAATCTGACGTCGATGTGGTGGAAGTCGGTGGGTTCGTAGTCTCCGCGTTGGTAATATTGGTCAAAGACGAATGACGATTGAACGAGGAAGGTTGTGTAAGTGCACCACTCCCACTGGACGGCAATCCATCAAAGCTTAAAAACATGTTAGGAGCAGGAAGCTGGTTGTCGTTTCGAATAATAAGAAGTCGTCGTCCTGGGGCCGGATGACAGGGGGCCGTAGATGGCGGGACCATGCGATTCTTCTCCGCTGCCTGTTTAAGCCAGATGTAGTGTGCCCAGGTTGATTTAACACGGGTTGATACAACGGAGAATATCTTACTGTTAATTTATTAGCTACGAGAGACGAGAAATAACGGAGAAACTTACGTGTCAAGATCAGTGGCTTCCCCATCATCTCGACATATGCGCCAACACAGCAGACGCATGTAATATGCTCTAACCATAGGGCACCAATGATTGAAGAAGCGTTCAAAGGTATCCTCGGTCAGGAGCCAATCCATGCAAATGACCTCTTTTCGACGCTCGTTTTGGACCAGTACGTTCCACGATCCAAACAGAAACGCAAATAGTCGAATTTCGGACATGCTGTTCTCGCTGTGAAGCATTTTCGTGCATACATCAAGCCAGAATTGCCAATTCACAAAGTCGGATTCGTGTCCATGAGCGTTATTAAAGCGAACGAAGATTATTAACGCCTCTTCCATGAAATCACACAGCACAAAACACGCATTATGGTCGTACATGGAGGTCCTCTTCGCTGACGCTTGCATCATTTTGCTGAATGACTCTGCAAATGTCTTACGAGCTAACTCATAATCCGATGGGCGTTCTGAGATAAAATCTCGTAGAAGCATGATCAGTCGATTCTCAGCCATGGGTCTTGCCGAATTATTGGAAGGTAGCGGGAGGGCCGCAGCACTGGCATCAGCTCCAGCAAGCACATCGTCAAATGTGATTGGCAGAGGGTCTGCTGTGGGCTGACGATGAATCGTGCTGTCCAAAGCTGTCAAAAGTTGGGCTTGCACAAGTACAAATCCTATTGAAACTAATTAGCTGGGACTAACAATGAGGTCAACACAAGTCAGACTTACCTGGAGCTCGTGCTTTGCTGACAAGAGGCAGGTCTGGGACCAAAAACTCCTCAGCCAGCACATGGTAGTGCTTTGCAAAAACAAAAAATAGATCGCTGTCCCGTCCGCACCATCTGCCCACCCAATGTCCATACCAAGGTATTTTTGAGACCAAGACTGGCAAGAACGGATCCGAGCGAAGGTAGTTTGACATCGATTTTACAGACGTCCAACCAAGTCCATGAACATGGGTCGGGAAGTGTGCGATTACCTCATCTGTGTCGATTTTGTTCAATCTCTTCGGTAGGCCCAACTCATCAGACACTCGTCGGAGAACGTCCATCTGCAATTTCCAAACTCGGACTAAAACCTCTGCAACGCCAGGCACGAAAAAGAAAGCATAGGCGGTTGCTTTTCCACAAAAGGTGACGAGACTTGCTGGCGCGTGTCTAAGGGACATTTTATCAACAATGTAAGCCATTTGAGTCAGGAGATTCTGTATGAACAGGTTCCTGGCATTGTGATGTACAGACTCATGCATGAATTGACTGACGGTAGAACTCAAGGAACCTGAGGACTTCTTGTTTGGAAGATGAGGTCGTCTCTCCACGATGGGGTCGGGGTCTCTATCTGCCAAAGACGCGAATTGGGATGGCGAAGTTCTCCACTCTGGCCGTGTCATAATCGCATAGCAAGCATCCAGTAGAATGGGTCGGTCTACTCCACTGACAGTCTGATTTTGTCTTCCGTCTAGAACCTCAAGTATTCCGGTCCACCACTTATTCAATATGGTAATTCGACGTTCAAGGTCTTCCGGGCGGAGGTTTTTGTTCGACGGGTGCTGGGCATGGTTCCTTAGGAATGGAAGTAAAGAGGATCTAACTACGTTTGTTTTTAAAGACCAGGACTTGCCTTGGAATTTGGTGAAATCATTTTCGATGGAGCGAAACGCCGACCAAAGTTCATCCCGGCGTTTAGAGTTATCCGATCCAAGCTGCTGCAATCTTTCGGTAGATGGCGCCGTGGGAAGTGGTGGAACTTTGTCAATCGAGGTCCTAGGTGTAGAGCGATTATCTACAGAACTTCCTGGAAGACTGCTTGTGGATGAGTTTGTAGAAGCAAAATTCTTCAAACTCATGATCACACTCTGTGGTCTTTGTTTCGTCTTCGCTAACGCTGGACCTGAATTCGCGGAAGGCACCGTAAGGTTTTCGGCCGTTTTGCTCCGTCGTGACTTGTCTAACCTAGGATTGGGTACTATTGAGAGACGCCGTTTCGGTGTTGTACTGCCTGTTGAGTTCAAATCCTCCACGAGGCCATCTTCCTCCGCGCTCGATTCCACCGTCCGATTAGGAGATGGGGACCTTGACGATGTGATCCATGATTTACGGGCAAATGTTGCGAACGACTCGGATAGAGGTTTCGTTTTGTTTTCTTTTTCCCGTGTCGCTTTCGAAATGGTAGGGACCGGCGGAGCATCCGATGGCGTTGTATGTGACAGCTCCGGAGCCGACTGACGCTCTGGAGAGCCCTTCACCCTTTGTATCCATGACTTTGGTCGAGCCACCAAAGACTTCCTCCTCCCTATCCTCTCCAGTTTTGGTCTCTCTTCAGCCTTATCCTTTGACAACCGATTGCCTGCATTCACGTCTTTCTTCTTCAGTGTTTGGTTCTCCTTATTAAGCTGCGATTGTGCCTCGCTGGTTGCAATCCGATGCAGCTCCTTCTCTGATGGGTATTGGGGCTCTAATACAGGTATACAGGTGTAACTCGCGGACCGTGGTAGTCCATCGTTCTGGCGGGTGACGGCGGACGGCATGTAGTCCCTATTCACCAGCTCTGGTATGTTGGGTGACGAATGCGAACGAGAGAATGGCGACTTGGTGTCAAATATTGACGGCATTTTCGTAATCGGGCCTTGCATGCCCGTCTTGATGATGTGCTGGAAACGATCAATGGACTAGGAAATCATGATAAAATGGGAAAATGGCGGATCGCTGCGAAACGAATGTTCTCTCGTACTGTACTCTAGCGAAGGTTTCCCGCCAGCCTGGCCAGCAGCGCTTTCCAGAAATAAGGTTGGGGACACACAGTAGCCGGGTCTGACAGTCCGCGTGGTGACAATCGTATCGGTCCTGGACTGTAGAGATATCCAACTCTGAAACGCAATCGGCGAAGCGTTGGAGATAGATGCGATTGCGACAGATAGGGCCAACTAATTTCCTCGCAGATTCGGAAGTGGCAAGTACAGTGAAGAAAACGATTGGCGATGCGGACGGATCAAACGAATGTGAGGTATGCGACGACAATGAGAGGGAGAGAGTGAGGAGGGGGTTCGAGGATGCGTAAGGTCAATCAGCGGCGGTGCTCAACGAGGGACGAGCGAACGGGTGAAGCGAGGCGACGGGGTGGTGGTGGTGCAAAGTGAGGGGGGTTGCAAGATGTACGAGGAAAGAGGAGAGAGTAGTTGATGCCGTGGTGCTCGAGTAGATGGCAAAAGCCAGCTAGTGAATAATTAGGCGTACGTCGTGTTGACTGCTGACGCAGAGATCAATTCATTCGTCGTATTGCCATTGGCATTCCGTCAGGTAACAAACATCGGCAAAGCAGACACTAGCATCAATGGCAGCTCACAATCCGATGCAGCCAGGGTTCTTTACCATTTCGTGAGCATGTATACGACGCTGCGTTAAGAAACGGATGGCAGTTGGATTATTGTTTGTTGTCACCGTGGAAAACACCCAAAATACTTCGGCGCCGGGATGAGGTCACAAAAGCGGCAATTGGTAAATGAACGGAGCCTCTTCCTTCGTTTGGCCGAGCCATCCGGTACCGAATATCATAAACGCTCGCGATAAATTACTTGGAACTTGGCAGGAACCTTGCTTTGATTGAATCTTTGCTATACTTTCCCCTACTTCTCTCGAGCATTATCTAGTTGCGTTCATCTTCTCAACCTTTGTGAGCCGGGAAAACGTGTCTTTCAGCTTACGAATAGTGGATAACTAACACATCCTTAGACTCAACGACTTTACCTTACGGAGTACCGCCACGAACCTAAACGCACCCGTTTGTGCCCCTCAATTGGCGTGGTTTCATCGTATCTTTCTTTCGTACAAGCTCGCACACGATACGATTGGGAAGACGATGCAGCTTTCGCGAAGTAGATTGCGTGCAAGATAAGGAGACGAGACAAGTAACGGTGATTTGGAGTAAACCGGCGCCGGCTGTCAAGACATTTGAACTTTGAAGCTCTCTAGAGTTTGTCCCTCTTGCGAAGCTACAGTAGCTCGATACTCCAGAACTAGTCGACAGCTGGTAGCCGGTAGCCACAGTAATGCTGGACCCTGCATTTCGACGCTCAAGTCGTTCGTGTCAACCGTTGTCGTCTCCTTGCTCAGGCAATCTCGTCGGTCCGGACAATCTTGAGATCCAGATAGAGATTATCTTGATATATATCTGTACAGATCAATTAACATGAAGGCAGTACTTGCAGTGGGCATGTAGGTTGACTTAAACGCCTCCACAAATTTCCGAAGGAGATATTTCTGACGAGGCTTGGAAAGAGGCCAATCAGTGCAGACAAAACATCATGAGCCGAAGGGACCCCCCTGAGATGATCTCGGCAATTTAAGCAACCTCGCGAGTGACAGGCACGTGTCTTTTTACCTGCCTATCTTGAACTCGATGCCCAGAAGTACTTTACAGGACTTAAGAGAGCGACTTGAAAGTAAGCTACATCCGTATCTTAATTCTCTAGGTCGTTGCCTATTCGAAGATTAAGGGCCGAAGTGACAAGGCACTTCGAATCTTGATAGGTACTACTGTACATATTAATCGTGACTAGTTGATTTCAGACCCTTGGGAAAAGATCTATCAGATGTATCCACACACGCGCCTTAGGCAAGATTTTCGGTGCTATGTGGCTTAAACCCGAAGGAGTCTGATTTATGAGGCAAAGGCAAGGTAACCAGGGTCAAATCACTTGCTTCTTGCTTCATATTATAGATTTCATCGGGTGATGTACCTTTGTCTTGATATTATGTAAAATGGAAAAAAGTTGCAATGATCTAGCCAAGCAGGGCGAACGGCGTGCGATTAGACTAACTACCACCCCACCACGACCGACATTTAATTGCCAGCCGCATCGCAGCCTTCTGAGCTTCCTCTACAGAGTACACCCAACGACGCTTCTAGACCTAATCACGTTTCTTTTGTACAACACTCAACACGACATTATTTTCTTTCCTCGTATATAAGTCATGGATCAATTACCAGTTGAGCTCCTGCTATCAATTCTGCAGTTGAGCATACGCGATGCCTGGGAAGATAAGAATTCTCTCTTGCCGCTCCGTCTAACCTGCAAGGCATTCGATAATGCTCTTGCGCCATATTTGATGAACAGGATAAAGCTTGACCACACTTCCTTTTTGTGCGACTCGAAATTAAATATAGATGCATTGAAGAGGGCAGGAAGCTTGTGCAATTCGGTATACTTAGACATGTTGGTGGTACACGATGAAGGTATGCCTTTGCGCGTCTTTGCTGGTAGTACCCGCTGTCATACCATGATAGAGACCAGTTCGTTCTGCAGTATCGACTGGTCCCTACGATACTGTAGAACCCACTGGGTAGCGGTTGACACACCATTCATTCTGTAGTTGGTAATGCTAACTCAACATTGTAGACCAAATACAGAGCTTGAAGGAAATATTTAACACATATGCACCGAGACACCAGGAGATGTATCTTCTGATGGACCGGCTAGAGAAATACTGCATACGTGATTCAATTGAAGGCGAAAACCATTTCTCGCGTGTTACACAGGTAATCCCATCGTAGACAATGATCACTTGCGGTGTATGCTGATAACTTTAGGATGTCATTGCAGCGCTACCAAACCTCACTCGGTTCAAGATCGTCCTACCTTACCAAACCGGCGAAACCGTACGACGCCCGGCAATCAAAGTGCTTTCGTCCACCCTTGCTCTACTAGCCAAACGGAACGAAGAGCATCAACGACTCGAGACGCTGGTTCTTGATTATGTCAGTGACATTGTGATCAATAACATCTTTCGTAACCACATAGATGTCCAAAATGCGTGTAGAGTTTTCTCGGAACTCGACACCCTGACAATCACCATAACGAAGCGGGAAGTCAGGTCGTCGAGTTTCGGCAAAAATCTCTGGTTTCTGATTGAGAAAGCTGCCCATTTAAAGAGTCTTTGCCTGGTTGGGTGGGCCGGTGAAAAATGGATTAACAGGTCACATATCTTTACGGTAGAATTGGAAACGTGGGAGAGACGGTGTTTTCCGTATCCACTGGATTCCACCAGGGAGATAAAGACTCTTCGAACTCTTGAGCTCCGAAAACTTCGTATGCATCCGGATGAGCTTTTGAGATTAATCGAAGATTGCTCGTCGACCTTGCAAGAGCTTTATCTTGTTATGGTGGGTCTCAAAATCGACGAGGAAGAGCAAGGAGAAAATGTCCCCCTGTGGGTTGGCTATCCCGAGGACGGAGACTCGACTTCGGCAATACGGATTGCACGCCGCTTACGACAGATGAGAAACCTCAAATTGTCTGTTTTGCGTGCTACCTTTCTATCTTATAGTGATTGTGGTTTGGCTGTTTGGGACACGCCCCCAGAGTCAGCTCATCCTGATCTTGATCGTGTGGATACGACAGGCGGAAACAAAAGTCTTGAACAACGCTTTGTGGAAGCAGTGATGCATCCTGACATAAAGGTCGCTGTCCCTCAACCGGCCGCCGAGCAGCAGGAAACGGCCTCGCCGACTTCCTCTGGGAAGCAAAAAGTAGAGATTCGTCGTACGAAGAAAGAGGAAGACATGATAAACTGCCTCGACACGGTTCTGGCCCCATTGGGTAACCTCTCTGTACAACCATGGGCTGTTGCACAAACCGAGCTAGAAGATTCCATCGCCGGAATGATCGCTGTGTCTAAGCCAGCTCCGCCGCCACTTAGGCTCATCGACTATGACGCAAATGCTTTCCAAGCTGAATATAAAACTCTGCCGGATTACAAAAGCAGTATCGACGGACTTTTCGACGACCACCTCGAGCTTGGACACAGAGAACTGCGGAAAATGATTCGTATCATGGACAGAGGCATGGAAATTATAGACCGGGATTCTGCGAGACCGAATGGGCTCGATGTTGAAAATGAGAGGGTGTTGGCAGATGATGGGGCTAACGCGACGAGTAATGGGGCAGGTCGGGAGGAGGAAGACGGAAATGTTGATCCTGAGGATATTGAGATCGAGTACAGTGAGAATGACTTGGATAGTGACTGGGAGATAGACGAAGAGGACATCTAGTCAGATGATAACCTCTTATGACAGTTGGTAAAGAGTTGGAAATGGGCGTCTGTAAATAACCTTGTAAATAATATATACCCGGCAGTATTAGAACTGGCAATAATCATAATCATAATAGATCAATAGTAGAATCATTTCTTCTTGTCAGAGATTCTACGAACAAAGCACGGAGAGGGTTTCATCCACAAATCATTTGAACTACAAATGCGCATCTCTTATGTTGGAAGAAAACGGAGGGAGATGAAACGGAAAGGAAATGGTCAAAGAACCCCTCCTCGTGGAGGACAAAATAAGTGTTAGCCAGCTGGCCACTAATCTTACCGAATAAGGCGACTTCGAATAGAGCTCAAATGGCTTATTTGCTCAAAATTATTAACCAAATATGTCATACTGTTCCAAGTTGATCCACTAAATCAAGACATTTCATCAGCTTGATCGAAGAAATATCGTGTTTCGAATACCACTTATTTTGTCTACCGCTGGCCCCCTTCATGCGCTGCACGACGAAGGCTTTTCATTCACCACACCATGCTAATTGTATCATTCCTGGGAATCAAAGTCGCCTAGACAAGAACTCTCGGAAATTTGCTCGATAACGAAGGGAACGAACTTCTTGATATTGCGTACCGTGCCAAGGCCTTCAAATGTTCCTTCACTTGAAGGTTCTTGAATGGCCTGGTTTGCTGAAGATAGGAGTGTTTCGAAGCTGTCTAGTGATAAATACGTATTTGATCCTCGCATTTGTGTAGAGATTGCGAGATGTGTGACGCCTGGGAAGATTCATGGTCTATCGATCTTGCCATCTAAAAATGCTCAATGTCAGTATTGGACGAGCAGATATTGCCTTGAATGCGTGCCATTTCCAGAAAGAACAAAGCCAAACTAGGGTCTCGTTTTGAACTGCGAGGGTCGAGATCGGGTTTGCAGCGTGTATTTTGCGGGTTGTAGTTATTCGCGAATGGGAGAGGAGGTGAGGAGGTTTCGATTGTTGCGCGTAGGTGTTTGATAGATCTATGTCCGGACAGTCAAGATGTGATAAGAAACTGATGTTATGTAGACAGTACTTTTGTTGACTTACTGGACATGATGACAGTCGCAGTTGGGTCGCGACTTCGATGTGGATATTACCTATGTTGTGAAAGTGAAGTCCATTCATTCGAAATCTGGGATTCTGCAAAGGCTTCTAGACGCATGAAGCGTAAAGCACTGTATTTTTTTGGTGTTTCACATCCGGGAATGCAAAGAGAGAAAAATGTTTTAGCCATGAATCGCTGCTAGAACCATCAGCTGGAGAATCATGATATATACTTAAGTGAAATATTTGTTGATAGTAGTCTACTACCTAGCTTGCTCTTAGTGTGATGTTGATAGCATTACAGTTCAACGCGAAGAAATCACTTCAAAGTCATAAACTCTCCTAAACTCCAATTTAATAGACAAAATCAATTACTACCATCTCAAATACATAGTTACTACCCTGAATACTCCTTACCATGTACTTGTCCCCATTTTGCTTTCCCCCTCCGCGATGGTACATGAGTATGCGAAGCATACTTGGTCAAAAATATCAACAACTACAACCGAATCCAACCGCGTAATCGTAAATGAATCATCAGGACAATAGAATCCCCTCCTCGTCTGGCACACTGAGGCTTACTCAGTATTCTCTACCAAATTGGCGAGTTTGCCAAGTTTTTGCTTGACGTCGACCATGTATCCCTTGAGGATTCCCATCTCGTCAGAAACGGTGTCCACAAGATCAAGCAATCTCATGACGTCCAACCTAAGAGCCAAATTCTCCTTCACACCATCCTTGGCGATCTTCACAACCATTCCATCAACAACCTTCTTGACTTCTCTAACATCACCCCTCTCATTCATCAGCACCCCATCAGCACCCATTCTCTCCATAACTCTATTAACCTTCTTCACCACCAAGTTCATAGATCGATCATATCTCTTGACATATCCTTCGTAGTCGACTCGCAGATGTTGGATTTCCTCAAAGAGCTCACGTGTCAAGGCTGGGGTGAGCTTGGTTGCGGAAGTGCTGTCGAGGTCGTTTTGGGTGTGTTGAGTCTGAGGTTCAGAGACCTGGAGGTGAACCTGGGATTTTGGCGCCGCCAAGGTCCATCCTGCAATGGAGTTGAAGGTAGTGAGGAGGAGAAGAAGAGTGAAGATGCGAGAAGCCATTGTGTTTGCTGGACCCATGTTCTTGTCCTGTTGATTGTATTTTTGGGGCGGTTTGGCTTTTGGGTGTTGGTGTTGAGGTCGAAGAGTAATTTTTGGGGAAGAGGAAGAAGTTGATGTAGAAGTAGAAGAGAAGACGTGGCCTGAACGACCCTTGAAGGGGATGATGTGAGCTCGTGAATTTGATTCAGCTTGTTGTTGTGTGACGACGTGGATTCAAGATGTTGGTGAGAATTATCATATGCGGTTCTTGGCGTCGGGGGTGGTGGTGAAGATATATTCGCGCGAGGAAGGTGGGTTGATGAATTGAGGGTTTCTTGGTCGGGTGATTTGGTTGATTTTGATAGGTTCAGGTGAGTCTTATGGTCTTCGCTGCGATCTGGTGCTGCCGTCGATGAAGATTTGGTGATGAGACAGATCGACGGGAAAGGTTGGTGATAGTAATTTAGGTAGATAAATTTCGACACCTCGGGGCGTTGTTTTGAAGTTGAGGGTGATGGTGAAGGTGAAGGCGAAGGCGAATTGTAGACTGGATCTATAATATCTGCGTCAGTATTTATAGAGAACTGTATTGGTACGTATGTCTAAGGTAGTTAGATAAATATCAAGACACAAGGAATAATCAGCCACAAGTATGGTACATAATGTCTGCTCATTCCTTCCCATATCTAAAACCTAAATAAACACCCATGTGCGCCTATCCATCCCGTCCCAATCCTGGTATCTTGATGATTAAAAGAGATTATTATAGTTACAATATATGCCATGAAGAGCAACAGAAGAAGAAACAACCTTAAAACAACCTATGAACATCTATATCCTTCCATCTTCCCCTTTCTGTATGCACCCATCTCTCTTTCCCCTTCTTCGCAGACACCACGGGGCCTTTCCTTATGATATCCGCGTGCCAGCTTCCTGTACATCCATCTCTTACGTTTGTCTCCTCTGAGCCATCCAACAAAGCCTCAATACCGATAAGCGAATCATCGGAGCCTTCGAGATCAGGATGTAGCACGTAGTCGATTTGACTCTGAAGTTTGCCCAGGTACCCACCAACAGCATGCCGCTCCAGGAAGTCGCCATTTTCATCCCAAATGATTATGTGAAATTTTGATTTCGACTTGGCGGCTTCGGCGCGATGTTGTGCTAATCTTCGGGCAACTGCAAGACTCATTCCCTTTTCACGAGAGTTGTTTGAAACGTCGGAACTGTTGGAGCGAGTTTCCATGTTCAGGGAGAATGCGGACCGGGTTGGTGATTTGACATAAGTCGAACTTAATGAGTTGTTATACGAGTGACTTGGTCCAAAGGACGATCGCGTTAACAGCGATGGTAATGTCGGCATGCTTTGAGATGACGGAAGTCTGCTGGGGCCCGCGATACCTATGTTCCTATATTTATCACCGGGCAGCTCGATCCGATCCCTCGTTCTACATAACTTCTGAAGACTCCCGTCGAAATCGGTAGGTGCTCGAATCTTCGTCAACTTTGGAAAGCCGTTGGTAGATATAGATTTTGACAATATCTCGCTTGCTCTATCATCGTCCGGACTCGTAAACTCCCAATGGATGGTTTGAAGGGTTTGTGATGCTAGGTAGGGATAGAGGAAACAATCGACCCCTGGTGGGGATTGTGCTTGCGAAAGGGTGAAATCCGTAAGACTCCTTAGGTGAGAGAATAATCGCGCCAAGACCGGAAGCGAGTGGAGGGAAAGAGAAATAAGGGATAGACACTTCAGCCTATCGGTCCTTACTTGGGATGCAAAATTCGACAATCCATCATCTGTTATTCCTGGCAGACTTTCCAATCGCAATGATTTTAGGGATGGGACAGACATCAGAGTTCTGTCGTTGAATACAGCCGCCGGAAATGAGGATAGGTGCAGATTTTCCAGCGAAGGTAGCGAAGCGAAGATGTCAAGAAACAATGCTGAATTCATCGTGCCTTCTGGGTTACAGTGCAGGACCAAAGTTTTCAGACCATTCCAATTGCTATGTAGGTTGAGGAAATCGGTGCACTGGTCTGGTGGAAGGAAGTTCGGTACGAGTATTGGAGTAAGATATTCAGCGTCCTCGGATATATTTAACTTGTATTGTGGCTTGGATGAGTTTGATGAAATAATCCACACACGCTCTTGAAGGTGTTTTCTGGTCGATAAAGCGTGTACAAATTTCGAGAACTCATGTTTATATGCCGGGTACATTCCCGGAAGTCGTTCCAAGTTCGGGCAGGCCATGATAACCGAAGCAACAAGATCCATATATTCTTCCTGGTCTTTTTGACTCTTTGCAGATATGGGAATTGCAGGAACTTTGAGTGACTTGACATATTCAGCAAGATCGGGTCTACTCTGTAGTGTTCTCCGAAGTAACTTTAATCGGGATCCATACTTCATCTTGAATCTTTTCTTGATATGGGAATGTGAGTCCTCGCCGATGAGCTGAATGTCTTCATACAGTGCTACGCTGGCGGCGTTCGACCACTTTCTACAACTGGCCCCAATTGATATTAAGTCCCTCATGCAGCATGTTGAGCAGCTAAGACTGGACTGCTCAAGATGTGACTTTCGCAATTCGACCAGGATGTTGAGCAGAACTTCCTCTGGCAACTTCTTGAATGCTTCTCCGGGAACTCGTCGTTGATATGACTTGCCAAACGACTGGCTCGTATAGCTTGATTGACGTCCCCCAAGGCGTTGAGGTATCAATAGAGGTCTTTGAGTCGGTCTCCCATATCCATACATGGTAAAAGGTGCTGCCATGGGATCGGTGTAGTTTGGGCGGACGACCTTTGGCATACGAGCGTTTACTTCGATGCTAGATACAGATAATGTCGAAGACAGGCTTGTTCGGCTCGATCCGTAGTTTGATGGGTTATTGGAGCTTAGAGGGCTTCTTGATCCTGACCCAAAACTCGATCGACTGCCGATGCTGCTGGAATATCCATGGCGAACTTGTAGCTGATGCTCCATCTCGATTGAAACACCAAACGGAAGAAAAGGCGGGGAAGAGGAGTGGAGGTTGCTGCATCGGCTGGGGGAATATATGGGATCCGAAGATGCTCTTCCTTTGTGTTTATGGAGGGATGCTCGCGCAGTCCTCGTTCTGATATCCTGTTCGCTATACCTCCGTGAAGCACCAGCAGGGCTCGTTCCTGATGATGTTGCTGCCCTTGCCTTCACCCTTTGTTGCTCCTCGCTCTCAGCACCTAAATCTTGTTGTAATCTGTCGATTAACCAATTGGTCTCGAGTGGCGAAGGTAATGAAAATGTCTGTGAAGTTGGAGAGGGAGGATGGGGAAGATATCTGTAGAAACGTGGCCCAGGCCCGTTGCGTCAGTAACAAGCCATGGCGATGATAACTGAGCAAATAAGCAGGAAGATCTCCCGCGATGCCCTATTTGGAGAATTCTGGTAGCCATTTCGAGAACTTATCCCGGACGGACCAGGATAGATGAAAGAAATAATGGAGACTGGAAGGAGCTTGATTGCGCGATGGAGCGCCCAAAGAGGGAGTGGGAATTACAAAAGGGGGCGGCTACGAGGAAGTTGGAGCACTTTCGGTGCTACCAGGGGGTGTTGGCGTGACAGGTGGGGTTTCGTACAGCGCTCTAACCCTGATGCGGATCGAAAACAGGCGCTATTTGCCATTATTCCAAGCAGCGCCAGGCACAAAGCTCCCTGGAACGGAGAAAACGCACAAGTAAGGCGCGAAGACAACTGCTCAAAACGCAGCAAAGGAGATGAATAAAAAGAAAACAAGTGTTCGCAGATGCGGAAAGTTACATCCAGCAAGTTTTGCGCGTAAAGACGATGGATGTATCGAAAGTTGAGTGGCAGTCGACGAAGAAATAGTGCTGCGCGTACCTGAATAGTGCGGGACTGCCATGTGTAAATGCACTACTGCTAGTCTCCGCCATCATGCCAACAAAACCATCTCGACAACTCCCGCCATCATCACCACCATCGACTGTCCGGTTCGTATTGGCGTCGAAATCAGCACGATGGTTTCGATCGATATTGTATGGGCGGATTTGCCATGCGTCGAGAGGTGACAGCAGAGTCCGGTCTTGTGGAAGGACCGCACAAGTCGAAGGAGGACTGGAGACGGGTCGCGCCGATGGTCCTTCCGCTACCACGCTTTTCGACATGGAAAGACACAGTATCGTGATCTTTAGACTAGGAATGGGTACTGCCGGAGCTGCTAATGAAGATTTTCGATTGGTATCGACTGTCTGGGTAGGACTGTAGGACAGCGGATGGGAATATCAAAAGCACAATCGCTGGCACAACCACACTCAATATCGTCAACTAGTTGAACCCATAACAAGGCTCCTTGGATACGGCAAAAGGCTCGGAAAGATTGCAAAGCTAACCCACGGATTCTCGCTTCATTATATCTGAATCGAGCTCGCAAGGCTGTCGGGCAGAGCACGTTTCTTGAGAGCGGCTGAACTACAAATCCCAAGCGTCCCGTCAGGTTTCACAGACCGTCGAGGAATTATCATTGACACCACGAGTCCAACCGCATAACTCGGGGATTTTAATCCCACGCCCTCCTTGGCCTGGCCATGTCTATCATCTCAGCCTTCGCAATGAACCTCTGGAACGTCGCGAGCTACAGATTTCACCTGGCTATTGTCCCTCTACCATCTTCTCATCATGGATCTAGGAGGTAAGATTCGTATCAAGTATAACATTATTGGCCATCTGTGTCGGACGCCGAAAGCTCCGGTATTGATGTTATTCGAAACGATACGACAGATACGTTTCACTAACGCCTCGTTGTCTCTTCCAATTCACATATGGTCTTTAGACCCCACCTGGAGGCCACGTCAACTGACTGCGTATATCCTCTCAGGAAAGAGCCAGGATTTGGTTATCGATATACCAAAGTAGACTTTTGCATTGACATGAAGTGCAAGGCATTACCAGGATAACGCCACGAGGTCCAACTTATTGTACAAATTTCAAGCGAGGGCGATCAGATCGACCTAATTCGTGGAACGCTAGTATGAGAAGCTACTATTGTGGCAGTGTTCTAAACACGTCGGGGGTTGTACCCGCGAATTTCCAAGCATTTTGTAAGTGAAAGACTTTTAAGTTCCGTTTAGTGGTACAACATTTTCGTACTGGTTTGAGCTGCTGTCAGAAGCTTTTCATGAAAGACTTACGGCATGTATCTCTCTATCTTATCTGCTTTGAATTTTTGGTTGGTTATTTGGTCGATGATTACACACGATTAGCTTTCCCAGAGGTCGTTCAATCTCACATTATCTTGTCTTCAAATGCTTTCATATGTTTCAAGCTCTATTTACAATATACATCTCAGAAACAGTGATACATCCATTCTCTACCACCTATCTGATAGCGAAATCCCACACCCACCTCAGCTCCACATCTCTTTTAGATTCTCAACAGCAAACCTATACGCCTCATCTCTCTTCGCATTCCCCTTCTTCCAACTCGCTTTCTTATCCCACGCATGACCCACCCCTTCCACAACAAGTACCTCCACACTCTTCCCCAACCCCTTCAACCTCTCCCCAAACCGGGTACTCTCCGCCAACAACTGGTCACCACCACAATTAACCATCGCCACATTTTCCGGAATCCCCTTGCGCAATATCTCATCATCAGCTAGCCCAGGACTCAGTAACGGATCCAGCTTATCAGGATTCCCTTGTAGATAAGATGAGTCGAAGAATCTATACAACATAGGCGGGATAACGGGTATTAAGTTCTTATTCGACGCGTCCTTCTCCGCACGAGAGAGCGTGAAATCGCAACCACCGTAAAACACAACTAATCCTCTCAACATCCCACCAGATCCACCTTTTCCACCCATCCCCTCTAACACCTGAGCCAGTTTTATACTCACCCCATAAGCCAACGCACCACCAGCACTGAACCCCGAAATCACAGTCTTCTCCACATCAATCCCCAGCTCATCAGCGTGTTCCCATAGATACAACACCGCAGACACGCCATCCTCGATGGCTGTCGGAAAGGGATGGGAGGGCGCGAGACGGTAGTTCACTGATACAACGAGTGTATTTGTGGATGAGGTGATGGCGGTGAAGAAGCGTGCATCGTCGCGAGCATGACCGATAGCGTAGCCGCCGCCATGAAAATTTACTAGAAGAGGCCTTCTTTCCTTGACGCCAACTTCTGGCGAGGAGGGTGGACTTTTGTGAGACGCTGAGGTATAAAAGAAAAGGTCGATTGACCCCAGGGTTTTGGAGTGAGTTGACGGGATGGTGCGGATAAAAGAATGGGGTTTGGGTAAGGGGTGGGAGTATGATAGGTCGAGGGTTGTGAAGATACGTTGGAGGGTTCGGAAGAAGAGGGCTTGGATGTGGAGGCGGAGGAGGTGGAGAGTTGGCATTTTGATTCTGGCGGTGTGAAAGGAGAGAAAAAGGTGTATAATTCAACTGGTAAACATTGAAAAATTATTGTAGGTGGTCAAATTCAGAATAAAATTGCGGTAAGAAGCTACATATTCTTCCTCGGATACTTTGTCTGACTTGCGGCTTGATATCACGCCGCGCGGTGGGATTGATCGTAAATCTATTTCAAAGCATTACAAACCCATATAAACCAAGCCCCTCGGTATCATTAAACCATTCTGAAAGAGTTTAAGCCTTATGAGATGTCATTCATCATACATATTCATCCCTTCAGGTTGAGTCGGGGGTAGTTTTCTTCTCGCTTAATTCCGGGCGACTGGACAGATATCTAGGAGAGATGTCAAGTTGATTTTCATCCTGTACAAGACCTACATGGGATAGACTGATACTTCCAAGGCTCTGGTGCTTTTACCCGAAGGTAATGTTCCTACTTCGAAGTGGCTGCAGACTGAGCGTTACAAGGAACACAACTCTACTGGGTGTCGTGAGAGGTCTTTTGGGGTGCCAGTCAAACCAAACGTAATACAGTTTCCTCTTCTTCATTCTTTTCAAAACCCTCTGTATATCTAGTAAGTGCTGGAAGAGAAGAACGTGAGCGTAGATGTGTTACCCTTTGATCTCGCTGGTCACGAAACAGAAGTGCAAAAGACGTCCGGGCAGGTGAACATGACTTGAGCCTCACAATCAGCCCAACGGCAATTTGCCGTAGCTTGAAGCACACTAATACATCCTCGTTCATCTCTACCTCGAAGTTCACTTATGTACACTTCTATAATAAAGTCAAACACTCCGATTAATTTCACTTCAACAACATGTCTAACATGCAAACACTAGTAAAGTGTCCTAACTCCGAGGCCTTACTCTGACCTTTCCCATCCTTTGCAATGACAAAGTAAGCAACCACTAACGCCGCGCTAATATGACAATGCAACCCAAAATTATTTCAGATATTGATCAGTGTAATTATTCGTCCAACTCTCCTTCCTCGCTCTCTTCTCCTCTGTTATCTTCCTTTACCGGTGGTTTTAATGGCAACTCTGCTTTTAAACCATTCATTGGACCATCATTTGAGTCCTGAGAAATGTCTTTTCTTGACGAGGCCGCCGGAGGTGATGCGTCTACCTTGGCATCTTCTAGTGACACTGGTTCCGATTCACCCGATTCGGTTTTGACCCTTTTCGAAGACGAATCACTGGTGTCTGAAACCTCCTTGCGCTTGACGCCTAATTATCACTGTTAGTAAAGCATTATATGACCTGAGATATTCTGAAAACTCACCACCAGGAGCGTGAGTGGCCGGGTCATTGGCCGCTTCTTTTAAAGCCTTATCTGATGTACCATTGCTGTTTTCGACAGCCTTAACAATCGATTCGTCTTTCTGCATCGAGTTTCTGTCTTTCCTATCCTCGGGTTTAGGAATGCCGTTTGAGCTTATTGATTTCTCCATTTTCCCATTGTTTTGAGAATTGTGCGAACTCTCCCCCGTCCCATTAGTAGGTCCGTTACTCATCTGACTATTATTTCTGGCCATCTGCGAATGCAGGGGACTCGGTGATGCAATATCCGCGCTTCTTCTACTCCTGTTAAGATCTTCCGCACTATATATTGGTGATCTCTCGTATGGATTATCTTGTCGCATGAGAGGGTTCTCTTTCCAAAAGTTGCTCAGGATTTTAACCCCTTTAACTATTTTATCTGCTGAACCACCTAAGCGTATCCACCATGGCCGTCCTTCTTCATCATCAGGGAGGGTGTCATTGATGAATTGAGCCGCAAAGTAGATGGCGGCGATTGCGATGTCCTTTGATGGTAGAGACAAGCAAATAGTAGAGTGCGTTCCGTCGTTCAAAAAGGCCCACGCCACGTTTCTGAGTTTCGAATGTTCCTGAACCCCTAGCTCACGTAGAAAGCCAAATAGCGCATGATATGGCGATTCCAGCACGAGGTCAAATGTGAGGTATTCTAGCAGGACTTCTTCGTGGTGCATAATATTATCTCTCCATCTCCAATATTCGGTCGACTGTTCGTCTATTATGAGGTTGGAGTTTTTTTGTGCTACTTTGGTGCACGCGATGACAATTTCTTTTGTTTTCCGGCAAGTTTCTTCAGTCTTGCTCGCAAGAAATAGAGCGGTAGCTGCAATTGTCTATATGCGTTCTGGTTATTAGCAACCAGTATACTCGAGTGGGAGAAGGAAACAAATATGAGCTCGCAATTCGCCAGCCGACTTTTCGAATAAAGTAGATATTGGAGGGGTTGTCACATACGTAATGGTGGTAACCTCTCTTACTGTCCATGCTTGCGCGCATGTAAAATCGATGGAGGAATGTACTGGCGACCCCAATGGTAATTTGTGGAATCTTCAGGAGTATCGCAGCTTGGAGTATGAAGTTGGTTCCTTTGGCTCTCTGCTGTCTTTCTAACTTGGGATCCACGCCATGCAATATCGAAGGCGTACTCCTCAACTCTTCATCGGTAAACAACCATTGATTCGAATCGTTTGATGACATCTTGAAGTTGAGAATATCCACGCCGCGAAGTTGCGGCTTCTGCGGCGGAGAGTTTCGCGACAATCGAGGTGGTGATGGGACCGCTGGTGGGATCTTCGCTATGGATGTGGAGGTGGTATGGGATCGTCGAGCATTTGAAGGCGCATCTGATGGAAAGACGTGCGTTGGCCGGTAATGCTCAACAGTTGTCATGAGTAGGCTGGCGGAGGATTAAAGATATGGAGGCAGGTTATGGAAATGTTCAATAAAAGCGTTCCTATTGTTGCCGTCAACCGCGACGGTCTGGGGCTCCAATTCTGACTAAGCGGATCGGATTAACTATGTGCCTTCTTTACTTCTCGTCGAGGGAAAGCATGGGCATGCTCTTTTACAACTTGATACAACTTGATACATTATATTATCTCCAGGTTACTTGCGAATAACACCTTTGCTACTTTTCATTCCTGTATAGAATGGCACATGCAGTCTCTAGAGCGCGCTTCCGACGTCCCATGGGTTATCTCCAGGCTCCAGAGTGTGCACGATCGCAAATGTTCGACAGCTTGGTATCTGAAGACTGGCTTTGCTGAGGATACATTCAAATATTTGTAAATAAGGTTGACTTGGTAAGGTCTTTAAAATCATGGATGCCTAAGAAGCGTCTAAATTACGAGACAATGCTGTAGTGGCCTGTAATAGGCAAACAATGGCGCTTTATCGCATCATCTTCACATTTTCCATTGGTGTTATAGTACAGGGTTGGAATCAAACTGGTTCGAACGGCGCGAATCTTTCTTTCCCAACCCTTTTTGGTGTTGGAACTACAGCTACTAAGGATACGTTATTTGTTAGTATCGTTAACTCTGCACCTTATATTGGATCTGCTTTCGTTAGGTGTTGGGTATTTGACCCTATCAATTACACTCTGCTAACCAAGGCTGGCACGTTGCTGGTTTAGTGCTCCACGGCTGTCGTACAAGCCATCAAATATCTATAGGAGTTGCTAGAAGCGAATGTCAATAAAACTGAAAGTAGCTGATATGAGTATTTAGGTCATGTCTTGGTTCATTTAGACATTTCGGCGACCCTTTTCTATTGCGTACTTTTTATTTCCACCTGATGTTGATTTAATTCATCATATATTTCTATGTCCCCCGCCGTTTTCAACCTAGATCTTAGTGGCGAAGTATATGGACTGGTTGATTCACTGAAAACATTCAAGGTCCAGTATTGTTGTTGCTACGCTTCTCCTGAAGTATTCACCTACCACTTCTGAAATTAACATAATCCAAAGGAAGCTATCTCGTGATGTACGCTAGGTAGAATACATTATTTTTGGCTCACCCTTCAACCGATATAAGCCATAAACACCATAGATCTTACTTCGTCCCAGTTCTTGTGACTGCAGACCTTGTGATTCAGCAACCTCGCAAGATTCTCTCGGTCGACTGTTACCTCCTAAGCTACAATGCATGAGGAATTCGCTCTAGTGGGAGACAGGTGTGCATTCTGTCGTGAACGGTTTCCTGTAGATTCGCGGTCTCCTGAAGACTATATGCTAGACTTTGACGGCTGGGCAACAAATGTACGCGTTGGTATGTTCTATTATTGTTTTGTTGTTTCATGTTGCTGATGGTCTCCTATAGTAATTCGCACAAGCAATGATAATAATCATAATGAAAAATTCGCAATCTCCGACATTTTCCACATTTCAGCCCTTTACGCGTATGTATGTCCGGACACCAAGCTCGCGAGGCTGAGGTTTTGGCGTCGACGCCGTCGAGGAATTAAATTGATTCGCAAACCTGGATCTGGCATGAATGGGGACACTGGACCACTTGCTTTTGGCTTCCATAATTGGTGCTGTGAAGTTCTGGCTTGGAAAATGAAAGGTGTTAGTGCGAATTTTATCTACAAATTAGCACGAGCACTCACCCCAGACACGTCGTTATGGCAAGAGACTCCTGAAACAAGTCACTGCCTTGACTGGAATAAGAAAGTTGATATTGTGGCTTCTCATGAGGTCCAGCCGCTTGGTCTGTCCAATCTACCTATAGAGCTCCGAGTGAAGGTCTGGCGGCATGTCGGGTTGATGTCGCCTTACAGCGCTTTTATTACTGTCATTAGCGAAACTTGTCGGCTCGCTCACCGTCTGCGTGGCCCATCGAATACTCTCGTGCATTGGAAACAAGGATCACGCTTGTCTGCCCAAGTGATATCAGTTTTTGGTACAGAATATATTCAAAGCCTGACAGTCGATCAAGGTTGTGGATATACTCCCTATGAGCCTTCAGGAACAACGTATTTGAGGTATATTCAGAGTTGTGGAGGTATCTGCGCCATTCAACTGGTTTGCAATTCCCGGAACAGTGGCTGGATTGGTAAAATCCCCACTGGAAATTGCATTTGGTATGGCCATGTCGTAGGAGAGGGCAGCACTTTGAAATTTGAGAGCAATGTAAGTTGGGTACCAAGCTAGATGCCTCATACTAATGACTTTAGGACCTCCATAGCATAAATATCTCACTGGCAGATGCAAATGACAGCGATACTGTGCTGTGGGATCAACAGGACCCCTCATTGTCCCTCGTTGACAAGAGACCTCTGTCTTTCATTTTTGATCAAGAAACTGGGCATCCTTTAAGAATCGACCAAGGGAAGTTTTTCAGATATCTGTCATTCTATAACAAAAATCAATATGCGAGAGCCATCACAGTCTACATCAGTGCTTATAAGAAGATAGTTGGGGCGGAAGCTCACTTCGCAACCACTTCCCGGGTGAGTGGGAAACGAAGTGGGTGTGCACTACATTTTCCTTTCTACCCTGGTGAAAAGATAGCCTTCATCTGGATCCGTCTTCTCAGTAGTAGTATCCATATATATCATCGCGAATACTTCGACATGTTGTCAGCTATAATGGTCAGTCTTTATTTCAACATTTATCAATAAAAGCACTAACAATACAATACAGATTCAAACAACGATGGGAAGATTGCATACCTTTGGACCGCACATCTCACCAGACGGAACCTTCAAATACCTTCCCGGGCTGTCAAAATGGAACCTTCTGCATCACACTGGATCTATCACAGGAGTGTATTACCGAAATGTGTCAGCGGGGGACAAAATTCTGTGCCTTGGAGTTACCAGTTCAGACGAGTATCCAAGCGCAACACCTCTTGGACTTCAAAAAGATCATTTTCCAATAAGTTCTTGGCGCCATCTTGTGCCTGGGCGTTTAGAAAACAAGGACATGTTCATATCGATCGCTACACTACGGGGAGTACAAGAAGTGAAGACATGCCACATTGAGAATCGTTCCATTGGCTTGTGGCTACAATATGACGATGACCGCGCGAATGTCTTCGGGCAGGGGCGAACAACACCAGATACTAGACATACCTGCGTCTACGACAACACATACCCGCCCATTACCCAGGTTCATTTTGAGGTTTTCAAGAGCAAGTCTTCTAAATACCAGGTTGTCACCAATGTGTTCTTCTCCTTAGACGCAGTGGAGGAGATACCAGACTCTGAAATGACATACAAGGCTTTTGGGATTGATGATGTAAGATATGACACTAATTTACGGATCGGTCATTTGCTCACAGGTCTGATTTAGGAAATTCTGTGGTTTTTCGACAACGACTTTGATCAAGTCACATGCTTGACTGGAGATATGAAGTACATTCCAATCGCCAGATAGTAGAACGCAATTATAGAGATCCCACGCATTCAGAAGCTGTGTTTACAGGTAAACGATACTATTGTCAGGACGCGAAGAGAACGACGAGTGTAACATTCGGCGCGTCACTTTACTTGGGGAAGTCACCCGCAATGAGCAGTAGTATGGAATATTAAATCCAGTTTCAACTTGGAAAATGAAATCAGACCTTCCCCTATTTCTCTCATTCATTCATGATTAAGAAGATCTGGTTGAATCCCCTTCATACTCTCAAACAGACGCTCAAGCAGTTCCCTCTCCGCTTCATCTCCAAGATCTCTATACTGACTCAAGTCATCATCTTCAAAACTTCGCTTCCCATATGATCCATCCTTCCCCTCTCTACCCCAAGAAGGTACCAACCCCTTCACACAATCATACCTCCAAATCCTAACACCCACACCAACCATCGTAACCGCAAACACCTCACCGACCTCCCCAACACACAACGCACAAACCTCCCTCGCCCTACTTTCCAACTCCCTCAGCCCTGAGTCCCCAGCATCACATCTAGCAAAACACAGCGCCCTCGGCTTAAAACCGCCGTCTCCGAAATGACTAAGCACAATATCAGCGGACTGCTGCTGAAAATTCACGACATAGTTCTCTGCGGCGGTGAAGAGCTGCGTGTAGAGAAGGACTTTGAGAAGTGCTCGGTTTTCGTAGTCTGTGGATGGGGCTACGAGATAGGCATCTTGGTAGTGCTTCTTGGAGGGGAGTCCTGATGAGGCCGTGGGGTTGGAAAGTGGACATTTTCGGTTTCGGGTCTGCTGGAGAAACAGGTATTGGTCTTGAAAAGAACACTGTGAGTTAATATGAGAGGAAAAGTGACCTCGATTGAGGTTTATAATCTATCGGTCGCAAGGCTAGGCAAACATCGTTGGACGTCTACTCGGTCAAGGTGTGTCGCTATCATTTACCCCATGCTTGAGGATGCCGAGATCAACTTTGCAATATTATTTCGGTATATCTGCCCAGTGATTCAAAAAAACACCATCATTTGTTACCTAGTATACGTAGGGAAGAATAACGATTTGCATTTATTCTGCGAGATACTCCCTCAGTCACGTGTCAATGAATATTGCGAGCCGTGGAAGTCATTCAATACTTCTTGCTGGAACGCAATGGTATATTTCAATTCTAGATCGTTATTTGTGTGTTCTATTGGACTAGAGATTGTCGAGAATACTGTACTTATCGTCGATAGTCCAGGGGACTCCGAAGTAACACATTTGGTAAAGCCAGACGCATGTTGAAATAAAATAATAAAATCGTGGAACAAGATTCCTTAGAATCAGTTCATCTATTTTGAAACGCCATATGCACACCTGTGATATCTATCCGTCCTTTTATAAACACGCCTTAAATGCAAAAAACCGAAATCGAGTACCTCATGCCTCTTCTGGCCACACATTATATCCAAAGGTATCTTTCATGTTAACAAATCTTGTGTTGCGACCCTCAGCAACCTTGTTGACAGCCGCGAAATCCTCGTCGCTCAAGTTGATCAGACCGGCGTTGCTCTTGATTCGGCTAGGGTTCGATGATTTTGGTAGAACAGCATATCCTCTCTTCAACCCCCAAGCAATCAGCACCTGTGCGAGAGAAACACCATTCTTCTCGGCGACAGCTAGAAGATCCTTGTTGGTAGATACCTTCTCACCAGTTCCAGGGACTTGATCTTGTGATCCGAGAGGAGAGTATGCAACCGGGACGATGTCTTGTGATTGACAGTATTTGATAAGATCATATTGTGGGAGGAAAGGGTGGATCTCGATTTGGTTGACGGTTGGCTTGACTTTGGCGTACTGCAATAGTGCTTCAAGGCCCTTCTGGGTCCAGTTTGAGACACCAATGGACTTTGCAAGACCTTGGTTGTAGATAGATTCCATCGCTCTCCATGTTGGCTCCGGGTTCTCGGTGAGGGATTTCTTGATCACATACTAATGCGCCGTGTCAGGAATGTGGGGCTAAATTTCGAACATAAGATGTGCTTACCTTTCCATCTGAGCCAATCTTCACGCTATGATCCTCATTCTTTTCCGTAGCGATTGGCCAATGTACCAGAAACGCGTCCACGTATGGGGTTTGCAGCTTCGCTAGGGAATCCTTCACGCTCCATTCCACATCTTCCGGCTCGTGCAGATGATTCCATACTTTGGTAGTGATAAAGATATCCTCTCTTTTCACGTTCGGGTTGTTCGATAGAAACTCTCTCATGCCCGATCCGACCTCGCCCTCGTTCTGGTAAAACCAAGCACAATCCAGATGTCTGTAGCCTGCTTCCAGTGCGGCAATTACTGCTTTGTGTGTCTCTCCCTTACTGCCCTCATTCGCAAATGTGCCGAATCCCAAGGATGGCATTGAAACGCCATTGTTTAATTTGAGAATCGGGCCAGTAACAGCTGGAGATGCCATGTTGGTGATGTTTGCAAAAGGTAGCGGTGGTCGGGATCAATTGAAGTTGGTCTACAAAGATGTGTAGCACTGTGGAAGGGGACGAGGGATAAATTGGACAGAAAATGCGGTTGTTTGGTCAAATGGCTATTTCGGAATCCGAGCGTGTCAGTCAGGTATATCAATCGTTCCGGTTCCCAGCAAGACCGCAGATTTTTCATTCCCTTTTCGCGGGCCGTTATGAGACCATAATTCATTTCTTCTCAACATCGCGGCGTATGACGTTATAATTTCGCTGCGCGAAGGGTTTCGAAGGCTGCAAGAGTCAAGTCGATAAGAATAGAAAGGCCGGTTACTTCGAAATGTGGATATCTGTGGATGCTCTTGGTAGGGCTGTGGATAGAGATCATTTTCCAAGCGACGGATGTGGCGCGCTGGCGATCTTGCGCTGCATGGTCGAGAAATGCCGAAGGATTAAGGCGCCAAGGCCTCAGATCGATTGAATTTCTTCCAATGGTCACGTTTTAAGTGGGGTAGAAGCTTCGACGACGATTTCCTAGACTCACCCTAGCTGCACTTCTGACAACTTCACATCGCTCGTTTTACACCAAATTACATCAACGTGGCAATTATGATCTCTTGCTATTGCCGCACATCGCAATTGTGAAGCATGAATTCAATCTATGGTTCTGCCCAGGTCCCCTTTGCCAGCTATGCTCGGTTCGTATCCTCTGCATTTCGTTATCGTCGACTTATCGCTGGTTGAAGCCGTCGCGAAAGAGGATCCAAGAAGATCCAGGAACATGCCCGTAGCGTCACGAGTGGAGTCGGACAATTTTCTGTTTTCACCTGAAATATCCTCGAATACGGCCATACCACGGCCTATACCCAGTCTTAAAAGTGGTGACTAAGACGTCACTTCAAACCCAACAAAACTCATATCTGCTAAAGGAAAAGGCTCTACTCGTAGCCTCCGTGGCCGCTGGAAAGACCCATCATTTAGCAACCTTGGTTGGCCATAGGCTTCTGCTTTTTGTCCAGAGGACCCGCTCTTTGGACCCTTTCAATGGCCACTTACGAAATATCACAAGGGACCTCGTTAACCAGATTAGTAAATCACCGTTTGGGTCCTTTTCTGCAAGACTCAAGCTTTGCATTCTACTATATCCGGTCCGCTTTTGATAGAGCTTTGCTACACCGTCATTCAATATACTGGAGTCTCATGTTTCAACGCCCTTCTTCATGCCATAGAACAGAGGGTATTGGTGGACCCTTGGAGTGTTTCCGACAATGGCGGGTGTAGGCGTATGATTATGACTTCACAATTTCGGTGACTACCGCCATTCGCTGATGGCTGTGTAAGTACGCAAATCTCTTCCATTGGCATTTTTAGTGCAGTTTCAGCTCCTTCATTGCTGAATATATACGCTGAGAAAGCCCACCCTTTCTTTTCATCAGATCTTCTCCTTATCACACACTCTCCTCTTACAACTTTCACTTTCCATCCACAAACTTTGAAATTTCTTTGAAGAAAATCTTCATCAACATGCCCTCCTTTCAAGATAACACGGCTGAGCCAGCTCGCCCTCAAACTCCAACCAACAACTTACTCCAGAAAGTCAAGAGCAACGGTTCCACAAGAAAATTCGACCACAACCTCCAACACAGTCTTCCAATCCCAGGTGATGGAGCCCATCCTGGCTCTATCGAGGTTCCAGCAACCAGATCGTCAATGGCCGAGACCGACTACCTTATGCATTCCTTGAGCCTTACCGACAGAAGAGGGTCACGAAACTCTTTTGGGGCTTCTTTGCCTATCCCAAAATCAAAACGTCAATCCCGTCTTTCCTCTGTAGCCAACGCCGATGGACGCCCTACCCGACCTGGCATGCCTGCTATCCAGCCAACCCGCGATATTCTCTCTTCTCAAATCCAGGACGTCAAGGCCAAAATTACAGCTGCAGCGAAAGACATGGCCTTTGCTTTCGACATTGACGGTGTCTTGGTTCACGGGGATCGTCTAATTCCAGAGGGTCAACGTGCTCTTGAGATTTTGAACGGTGATAACGAGCTTGGAATCAAGATTCCTCACATCTTTCTAACCAACGGTTCTGGGAAAGTCGAAACGGCTCGTTGTGCTCAGCTGTCAAAGATTCTGAGAAACCCCGTTTCAACAGATCAATTCATTCAATCCCACACGCCTATGTCTGCTCTAGCAGATTACTACGAGACTGTCTTAGTAGTTGGTGGTGAAAACTACCAATGTCGCGAGGTTGCGAAGCAATACGGCTTTAAAGATATCGTTGTTCCAAACGACATCTATGCCTCAATGCCTACCATTTCACCACTCAGAGAGCACTTCACTGCTGAACAGCGTGCTACCTCTACCCCCCGAGACTTCAGCAAAGTCAAAATCAATGCAATCCTAGTGTTCTCTGACTCTCGCGAATACGCAACCGATCTCCAGATTATTATGGATCTTCTCCAATCCGAGGATGGCGTTCTCGGTACGAGAAAGAAGGATCCAAGTGTCGACCAGCTTCCAATCTACTTCTCCCAAGGCGATCTTCTCTGCCCTACTGAGCACCCAACGCCAAGAATGTCCCAGGGAACATTCCGGATTGCTCTCGAGGCAATCTACAAAGCTATTACCGGTCATGAACTTGAGCGTGTGGTGTATGGAAAGCCTGAGCTTGCAACATATAAATATGCGGATGAAGTTATGACTTCCTGGATGGACACTATCCACGGCGAGGAAAAGCTACCAAAGAACATCTATATGATTGGTGACAATCCAGCGTCTGATATCACAGGTGGAAACATGTATGGTTGGAACACATGTTTGGTACGGACTGGTGTCTATCAAGGTGAGGGTAACGATGATGAGAACCCAGCGAACTTTGGCGTCTTCCCCAACGTTCTTGAGGCTGTCCAAACTGCTCTTCGCAAAGAGCTCGGACAAGATTTCATGTTCAAATGGAATGACAACATCAACCCAGTCACGGGAGAGAACTCCGTGTCAGCGATTGAGTAAACTGTTCACAACGGGTAAACGAATTTCCTTGTATATTAATCATGTGATGGAATGGCGATTTGGGCATTGGCGTGGCATAGAGGCGTTTAGATATCATCATCCGTCGAGATGAAATTGAATTGAATCAGTTATAAATCTAAAAGTCAGGAAAGATAATGGTTGTGAAAAGCTTCAAGGCATGGCTGCTCATCTTGCTAATCATGTCCGTAGAATTTTGCCAAACGTGAAACTTTTTCATGGTCCAAATTTGCTAAATTCTGTTTAAACTAAATTTTGATAAATTTTCATGGACTGTGGAATTGAAATGTAAAATACGACCTCTACTTTTGAATGGTCATATCAAACCCCGATTCGAAGGGCCTTGCCGAGAAACGTAAATGAAATTCACTCGGAAGCCAACTTCTGCCCCTCTGTCCAAAAATAGCTCTGTGCTCTTCTGGCCATATTCTTCACTCGCACAATCGCAAAAATACACCTCGCTCCACAAAATTGAAGACGTCGTGCTCAATCGCTCGTTGAAATGAATGGTTCTTCTGATTGGCGCTTTTTCTTATACTCATCCCCTAGCCTTCGAAACGCGTGGGACGAAACGCGTTTGCATATATTCAACTTTCGCGGCCACAGGGACACTCTTTCGTGGTGAAGGTGCAGCGGGTATGGGATTACGGAGATACCTTGTTAACAAAGACTTCCAAAACATGGTTTGAAGACATGGTCGAGGAACCTCCTCCAGAAGATGAGACCATCAAATTTCCAAAACCTGAAAGGATTTCAAACGTCGTCGCCCCAAGACTCAGTACTAATGAAGTTCGTTCAAAGCGACGCAAGAAAGTTCGAGGTGTCAATTGTAGCTTGAATGAAGGTATCTCAGAGCTTCCGGGTGTCACTTTGGCCCCAAGTCCTCCAACAATGTCCAATCGTTCGTACTTTATAATTCTAATATTGTGATACATTCTAACATTTACAGATCTACGAGATATTCATTTGAAACCGTTTCCTACTCTTTCCTCGAAATCTTCTTACGAGAGCTTCACCACTGCGAGAACAAGTTCAAGCCCAGATGTGGTCAACAGTCTGTCATCCAAGACGAAAAGAGCGCATATACTGATGACACCAGGCCCAGCAAAGCACAATGCGAATGGGGGGATACTACCTGATATATCATTGTCCGAATCATATGCCGACAACGACCTGACCCCAACCGCCACGCGTAATGAAGTGCCGCCATTCTCACAAGGATCTTCATCTTCGACATCCACGAATCCGCTAGGAGGTTACTCTCAGATCGACGAGAGCGAGTTCAAGGAATCACCCTCCGGACCATTTTCTTCACTTTCGGAATCAAGTCCATCATTCTCTTCGACGCGCAGATCTATCAACATGCCATACACACCCGCTCGATCACAGTATCACTTATACCACTCCCCCGGAGTTCCAACTCCAACGAGCCCAGTGGTTCCTTTAGATACCAGTCTACCCAATGTGGTCGATCCGATGAGCTTGCAGTATGCAGTTCACCAAGATCCGCAAGGCGTCTTTCAGGCTATGCGCAATATCATCTCGGCAAGAGATAAAGCAATCGAAGAGCGCGACGATGCGGTCAGTCGGATGACTAGCTGTATAGAAGAACGCGACTTTTCATTCTACCGAAGCAGGAGAGAGGAGGCGGATCACCAGAAAACGAAGGATGCCCTTCAAAGTATGAGAACTCAGTTGCGCAACGCCAGGATTGAACTCGGTGACAAGAAGCACGAAAAACGGAAGGATCAGGATCTGATACAACGGCTGTATAAGGAGTTAAAGGAACTTAAAGCAGAATTGACATTTGCTAGGCAGAATTGCGACGGATCTAGGAGCGACCACCAAAATGCCCTGGAGGTCTTTGAAAGTCTCCAGCATATCAACGATTCGAAGATTGCTGTCATGTGGAAATACGTCGACAGACTTCAATCGTACATTGCCCATCTACGCGGTGGAGGCTCTCCCGATAGCAACTTTGAGAAAATCATGAACTGGCAGATTTTACAAAGTCAGCAATGTCACAACAACCACGCATCTTCGGCCGAAAACATAGCTACTCATGAGGTCAACAATTTTACAATTACACGTCCAGAAATATTGGATCCTCAACATTTTCCAGAACTCGTTGTTAGACGTAAGAAGAAGTCGGCTATCAGCGAATGCGACGGACTCAGCGATGTCTCTACAATTGTACCTCTTGATGATGCCGAATTGTGTCCCAATACCCATTCACAAAATCCTGCGACTCCGATCTATGAAGAAGCCCAATGTCGTGGCGTTCATACGAATCCATGCTCTCCAACAAGTCAAAAGGCTCAAAAAGGGCTGATGAAACCTCCACCGGTATCAACATATGCACAAGCAATCTCTAAGAACGCTGGCAACGAAGATTTGGGCAAGGGAAAGCGTAAACCCAAGACGAAGTCGAAAGAGGCAGCCGTACAAGGCACTGAAAACAAAGCTCCTTTCAACCCTAGTGCTGTAAGCATTTTCTCCGTCAATTCATCTTTCGATACTAACGATGCTCCTTTTTCAGCAAACCTTCATCCCCGTAGGCTCGCCAACTAAATCGACTTGTTCCACAAACTCAAATACAATCGCATCCTCAACCCCATCAGATAAAGCAATTGATCCAGTCCTACCACTTGCACCACCCAATACTCCAACAATAACCCACAACCCCCCAGAACCAGACATCATATACGCCCTCCCCCACCGACCAACAGGCGTGCTCCTCCTCCCACCAAACCCCTACCTAACGACAACCCTCCCACCTTACCTCCACACCACCGCTCTAACAAACCACGCCCTCGAGCTCCCCCTCCCGCTAATCCACCTCTCCCTCTCCACCCTCCCCACACCCTACCAAACCCTCTGTCCCTTCGCCCTAACCTCTCAATCCTGTCCCCTCACCACCTGCACCCTAAATAAACCCTGCTACCCCTACAACGACGAAACCTTGCCCCTCGACGCATGCAGCGGCGACTGCGGACGGATCCACATCTACAAAACGTGTTTGATGGAGATCGACGGGCGGCCGAATGAGTGTGCGGCGTTTAAACATTGCGCGGGAGGGAAACATCGGAGTCATTTAAGTAAAAGAGTTCATTTTGGGACGTGTGAGGGGGAGGAGTGGAAGGCTAGGAGACTGTTGGCGGATTTGAGGGAGGTGCATAGGTTGGGACGGTGGGGTGGGGTTGCGGTGGGAGGGTGAGTGAGTGGTGAGGAGGTGGAGGTTGATAGTTGCGATTTCTTGAAAGAGTATAGTAAGTTTGTAGGATGCGTTGGTGTTGGAGACGTGGTGTTGTTTATTTCATATCAAAATCGGCATAATTTGACGTTTGGATGAGTTGGCGGTTAATTGGACGGCGTGGAAAGAATGGAGAGCTTGATGAATTTGGCGTTGATGGCTGGTTATTTGGATCGTTTCGAAGCTTTAAGATACCCGTAATCATTTGAAGGGCAATCATAATGGTCCTTTGTCCGTTTCCACTAATGGCCTTTCGCGAGTTGGCGAATGGAGGAAACGACTTCTAACGACCTGACCTTTTGAGGTCGAAAAAAATATGCATGGGAGGTGTATAAGCACTGTACATGCTCTCTGGATTTTTGTTTATAGTTGTATATTGGTTTTATTAGCTTAATAGTCTTCATTCTCCATGGCTCGGAATGTTCATTCGTATATCATTGAAACATGCTGGATGATAACTTGATGCATTTTGTTGTGTAACTAGAATCTCGCGGGTTTTGTCGATATATGACCTCGATTTTGGAACCATATCGTCATGTTTGGGTAGCTGGTGATATGATGCTTCGTAAAGTGCTTAGTAAGTAGGATTCTTCATTTCAAAATCTCATTTTCTTCATGGCCTTCCATCTCCCTCCTCAGACCACCATTTTCACTTCTAACTTCATCCAAGAAATCCACCACCTCACAAAAGTTCTTACACTCCATTAGTATACCTCTCTCGTCTTTACTCAGCAAAGTCTTTCCTTTCTGCGTCCTATCAGTTCCAGTCATCTCGCTTAAATGATGCACTACCAGCTTGAATGGGATAGGTGCTATCGCCACTTTATTCATGAAAGTTTCGACAACGTCCCACGTACATCCAGTATCTTGAGCTGGTTGGGACTTGTCGATTCCGTATGATGAAGTAGAGTTGGGTCTGAAGAACATACCCGGGTTTTCGAGGATACCGCGGGCAGACATGACACCATCTACTTTGGTAGCAGCGTAGTGGGACAGAGCCGAGGAGAGGGAGAATATGTCGCAGTTCGATATGGTAGGGACTCTGGTGTGAGAGTTAAGAAGTGTAAGAGCCTCTGTGCTTGCCGGGATGGAGGAAGGTGTACTTCGAAGGCGAGGATGGATCGTTATGACTATGGAGGTTAGCATGAGGGTTTTCATACTTATTTTAGCAGTAGTTCATACAATCGACGCCTGCATTCTCAACAGTCTTGATAAAATCAATAGTTTCTCTCAAGTCTCTGTGGATTCGAATCTTAACAGACACTGTCTTCTTATCCTTAAACCCTTCTCTTTCTGCAAATATTAGCAAGTCCATCATCCAGAGCTGAAATTGTTCTACTTACCGAGTGAGGCTTTTGCTTCTTTCACCATCTCAGCAACCAGTTCTCTCTTATGCATCAGCGCTGCTCCCAGCGTTTCAGCACACGCCCATGACTGTGGGCATCCGCAATTGATACCAATTCCATTGACATACGGGGCAATAAGCGTAGTAGCCCGGGAAAGCTCGAGTGGTGAATTGCATCCAAACTGAACAATTGTCGGAGGTTGATTTGGAGCGAGCGTGAAATCTGTATTGAGATTTAGTCCTTAAAATGCGGTTCGAGGCGAGTCAGGAGACAGACCACTATCACGTGCGAAGAGTGAGCGATTGAACTCTTTCGCCAGAATCTGAGATGTATTTTAAGAATTCATTCTTATTCGACTTGTACAATGGGCTTATATATATACCATAGGTGTCCAAGTCAAATCCACGCCATATTCCGCAACAGTTTGTCGGAACGCCAACTTCGTAATGGTAATTAGTCTCTTGCTTCTCCTATATCTGCGAATCTTTATACCTTACTATATCTCACCATCGGCGCTGAAGCGAATAGCGGCCGTTTTTCAGATTTGGCAATGTTGAATAGTTGTAAAGGACTAGTTCCATTTGGTCAGCGTAGCGAAGATGCAAGGAATTTTTTACAGAACGAACTTGACATCAAGGGAAGGCGGAAGACGAAGAGGCTCTACGTCGCCTCCATCGAGAATATTGGGCATCTTTGTGGTATTCAGTAGGCTTGATGAGCATTATGACCGTGGTGATGGAGCCATCATGCCAGACTGTGTGAGGAGAGTAGGGGGTGGATGAAGTTCAAGATGCCTTTTCTTGGCAAAGCTCGGACTCTTTGACGGTTGTTGACCTTGAAACTTGACACCGCAACCGCGTCGACGATTAGCAACCATCAAACCATTTGATCCTATGCAACATCTGAAGACCAGCCATAATGCGGCATCAATAGCAATGTACATAACTCAATACGGTGTCGGTCTCGCCTTTTGAACGTGCTTTGATCAGCCTCCGACCTCAATGTGTAGCCCCTATTCACACTTCAACGTCCTTTCGAACGCTGCATCGTTGGCTGCATATACAACATCGCACCAGCGGGCAGAGTTCCTCTGGTTATTGCCTCAATATAGACGCACAGTGTGATGGTCCTATTAATCCGGAATCACATCACACGACAATGGAGAAGCATTCTTCCATATTCTACGCCATCCCGTCGCTCCCATCATCGGACTGGGAGTCACAACAGTAATATTCTTGAATTGTATGAAAGTTACATGCGGATCTTCACCCAGAAACAACGTAGAGATTCGTGGTAGCTGTCGGACGATATACTGCCGCCTAGTTGTAGAGACAATGCAGTATTCAATTACACATACGGACGTTGGCTGTACGCTAAAAGATTTACTAGTAACTCCGTTAAGTCATCGCTTTTCTCTGCTGACATGTTCGTAGTTACCATGATTCCTTACGCCTTTCTGAGAGATTTTTGTATTTTGATTTGCCGGAGCTGTGTTATCTTGTCGCCAAATCAACGAAGCGGGAGACCTGTGATATATCACGACTGGTGAAAATTGCCGAGAGTCATTCCTACCGTATGCTGGAAGTAACATTTCTTGATGGCCTTAAGGTCATTGTACGACTACCGTATCCATGCACGACCCCTCGCAAGTATGGTGTTGCTAGCGAGGTTGCCACCATGGAGTTTCTGCGTGATTATGATGTCCCTATTCCAAAGATTCTCGCTTGGAGCTCGTCAAACAATTTAGTTGGCTCAGAGTTCATTCTTATGGAGGGGGTGTCTGGAAAGTTATTGTCGGAGACATGGTATGTCATGACAGACGAAGAAAAGCGAGGGATCATTAAGAAGGTTGTAGATATTGAAAGCACTCTGTTCAAAATAAGGCTTCCCGCTCATGGTAGCTTGTATCTGCAAGGTTACCTGGATCGTGGTGTTCGGACTGTTGATATACCCAACGATCATGGCTCCAACAACCCAGCCAGGTTTTGTATTGGACCCTCCACTGAACAACCTTGGTGGCATCAGAAGAGAGATGAGCTTCCTGTTAATCGCGGTCCCTGTAAGTTATCCCATGAATGTATCAGTGGATCCACTCACCAAGTGATTTTAGGGAGGACTGCCGAAGAGGTGCTGAAATCAGCTGGCGACCGTGAGAAGTTATGGCTACAAAGGTTTGGCAAGATGCGGTACCCGAAGGGGGCATTATACAGAGAGCCATACGATGGCGAAAGGGTAGATCCACGGGTTCAAATCGAGCATCTATCCGATTACATGAAACTTGCTCCGTATCTGGTACCCAAAGAAGAAGAGCTGAATATGCCCACTATTCGTCATCCTGGTCTCTCACCAAGCAACATATTTGTTTCCGAATCTGGTGAAATCACTGGAATTATCGACTGGCAACATACCACTATTCTGCCAAAGTTCCTGCAAGCTAAACCCTCTAAGTGTTTGCAGAACGATACCTCAGAAAAATTTCGGCGTTTAGACTTTGCAAAAGACGCCTTGTATGTAGGGAGTACTGAGACGCAAAAAGAGGCAGAGCGATGTCAGCAGCGTGAAGGTTTCCATCTTGACCCTACGAACATAGACGAGCTTGACAGCGCCCACTTCAGCACAACAGAGAAGCGGAGTCTCTGTCTGCCAAAGCAGATTTATGACATTGCTAGTCGACCATGGGAAGGTGATATAACATCACTTCAGGCCCACTTGATCAAGGCATTGGCAGAGTGGTCTGCAATTGCCTCGCCAGAAGATGAACCTCCAATCCGCTACTCTGAGGAGGAAATCAAGGAATGTCTCGACGGGCACGCGAAGCAGAAAAGGGCCGGCAAGCGGGCACAACTTGTAAGGGACTTCATTGGATGTGATGTCGATGGACTGGTGCGTACCGAAGATTATCAAAACGCTTTACGAAGGGCTCGAATGGCCAAGAAGATCCTGATGGAAGGCAGTACCGGCAACGAAAGGAAGAAGCAGTTTCGTAAACTGTGGCCTTATAGGACCATAAATCGAAGTTGAGAACCCCGGTAAAAGAAGTTTCAAGAACAGCGTGTCCTCGGAAGTTTATTCCCGGCAAGGTACGCTCTACAAGAATCCGTGTTCTACAGCTGGAACCTGGTACACAGAGCTATCACAGACAAATTCGCTAATACACATATATATCGACGTGCCGCTAATAGATGAGGGGCCTACTTCTTTCTGAGGACGTTAAAGAAGTGACTTTTTTGGGCGGTCTATGACTGGAAAGCGGAACGATTCGAAATCCTCAATTCGCAGTATTTCACCGTAAGACCTGATGAGATGTTGAAACCAGAATTGCTGTACTAATCACGAAATGGTAGGTAAATTGCGTTTCGAGTTGACCAACATTCAAGCACATGGAATCAATCGTATGGTACCGTCCTCCGAATTCCTTCCCGAGTGTCTCGGGCCATTTTTAAGTACTACTGGGATTAAAATTGGTGGTCCTCATTCTCATTTTCTGGTCGAAGGTCGCTTTACCCTCCTCGGTCGTTGAGTACGGTCTCTTCGAAGGCAACAAATGATTTTTGAACAAGTTCGGCTGCATTATACCCACCCATATTCTTGTTCTATTACCAGAAGGTTTCACTATCATTTCCGCTATTGTTTTACTCACTCCTGAATTTGAGCATATCAACAATATATAAAAAGCTCATCGTCGAGTACTACACTCTTCCTCTTTCACCTAATCTAAAAAGAAGTTTCAAGTTGGTTAGTGTATTCCACGAAGTAACAATTCTGAAGCTTCAAGTCTTTCAGATACCTGTGCCTGGTTGCAGCAACAATTCTGCTCTTTTTATTATCTTTCTGACCTCAATCGCATGCATGTCGACGGGTGTTTCCATAATAGCCGACATCATTGTGTTTAGTTTCTCTTGCAAGTACCCCAATTCCACTGCGCAAGGCGAGCATCACGTTGTTAAGAATTTCATTACCACCAAAGACCGATTAAGTCAAACAATACCACATCTCAGTACAGGTAAACATACGACACCGTCTTATCTCCCAGACTCTCTACCACTCCTGTCGGGGAGACTCCTGCAAAGAATTTATATCCGCAGCTAAAAGCTTGTACCAGTCCTCGAACGTTTCTTATATAGCCTCAAATTTCATTTCCACAAGATTAACCAGTTCGGTGATATGGAAGGGGGCTGCGACTTCTTCAAAGGAACTTGAAAATAGTCTTGGAGTACTCATGCTACATTTGTCCACAGCCAAATCAATGACAGATTGAAGGTCGAACAATATCAAATAAATGCCTCCGCTCTCGAGGTTAATGAGATTGTCATACTTGTTGGACATCAAATCGTCTACAATATCTCGTGTATGCTCTACTTCTAGTCGCTTGTGTCCTCGATCATACTGTCTCGATCTAATAGCTCGGATCCAGTCGCGGCATCACATAGCACCTCACTTCCGGCAAGCAACTGTGCTTACACAGGTCTTGTCTGGCTTGTAAACAAGCAAGGTGGTGAACTGTGAGCTTTCAGTCCCCCGCAAACACAACGAATCTCAACACATCGCTTGTTCGCACTTCCACGTGGTCCAGCACTCTTCATTCCTCCACTGAACCCTACCCCACATTCTTCACGGCACCCCATCTTATATATACTCCCCACTCTGAACAACCAGTATCTCACTCATCAACATCCTTTAACCACATAATATCCATCCTCGTAGTCACTCATTATGCTACTTCTATTCACCCTCTCGCTTATTCTGTCTCTGTGCTCCGCAGCTCCTTTGACACTTCACCGCGGTATACAGTAGTACCGAGTGAAGCCTATATCCAGGGCCGCTAAAGTATCTAGCTGGTCTATGATCGTTACGGTCGACAAAGTGTCTGCGACGCCTTCAGCTTTTCCATGTCATGTCCCAATTGCTCTGCCGGAGGTGAAGGAGGAGAGTAGACACGCTAGTATTCCTCATGATGGTATGTATTCCTTACACCAGTGGGAAATCTGGTAGTTGTTTTTGATTCTAATTAAACCGAATAGTAATGGAACCAAACGCCGTGCAATCCCTACTTGACACCGAAGTGGAAGGGACTCAGCAGGCTGGTGACGGGCAAGGAGTAAATATGGAAAGCGATCTTGTAGGGATCCCGACTTCAAAGATTCCAGACGACGTTAACGGTTCTTCAGTGATTTCCGCTGATCCTCATTCATTTCGCCATTCTGTATTACCATTCAGCAAGGTGTGGGGGCGTGGAAAGCTACATCGTCTCGCGGTTTGGGTTTCACAAAAGATAGGATGACCGTATTGGAAGATGTGTTAATTGAAGCGGTAATATGCGTTGGGGTTGGTATTTTAAACCTATTTTCGGACTATAATGCAACAAGGGATAACTGATTGGACTTGTGCCGCTTTTGAATCGCTTGTGAATATGGTTCTGATTCTCCCGCCAAAAAATTGTCGTTTTTACTGTGCAGAGACTATGAAGGTTAATACAACTTATAGTGCCACTTCGGATATCTCCCTAATGAGCCATATATAGGGCTAAAGTCAACGTTGTTGAACCAAAAAAAAAAGAAGCTTAATATATATATAAACACAGGGAACATCGCGAAGTAACACAATCGCCATCATATTGTCTGATTGCGGTTCTAGTTGTAAAGTCCGGGCCTCGCCACAGCAACTTTAAGTTATGATAATACAGAAATTAACTCTACACGCTTCAAAAAATCACAAATCTCTCCATGGCTAATCATAGGATGGATGAAACCATTACTGATTGCTTTTCACCGGATACTTTCGACCAGTGAACGCCATCAACACCCTGCATAAAGAAAGTATTAAAAAAGAGGGGAAACACGTTCAACATGCAGAAACGTATAGATGATATCGCCGTACGCCAGTCACGTAAGGAAATCTAGTAAAACCCCCTGATCAAATGAGGAATCGGATACCAACGCCACAAGAGATGTGGTCAAGAATTATCGTTGGGAATGTCGCCGTCGTCTGAATCGGAGTCTGAAAGCTCGACAATAGGCTCTTTCTTGGGCTCATTGGATGGGTTCTCTGTTGTTGGAACAAGATCGTCGTTGGTCGAGGCACCGGCAGCGAATGCGGCATTAACACCAGCAGCAGGTGCGTCAATCATTGTGGTGTCCCCAGATACAGGCTCGGCTGTGTCATTAACTTCCGACGTAGCTGGGGAGGCAGCAGGTGAATTGCTTCCACTCTGGCTAGGTCTCATAGCTTGCCACTTACGTTGCGACTCCGCGAGGAACTTTTTGGGAAACTTCGCTGCTGCCGGCTGCGATGAAACCTCCTGCATCTGGAGCTGAACGGCATCGTCGTCGGGAAGAGGTATTGGCTCATAAGGGGTACGGTAAGCGGGCGAGGGTCTGGCTGAGCCTTCATCTCCACTTTGAGAATCTGAGCGTCGACGTTTATTGTTGACTGCGTATGAGGCAGCGGTTTGTTGGTGTTGAGGCGCATAATTTACTGGTTTCTGCGTTTTGGGGGTCTTAGCTTTAGGAGAGGAGCCGACAGACGCTCTTGGGGAAGATGAAGCCGGAAGGTGTTGAGGATAAGGCGGTGGACGGCTGTCTGGAATATACGGTTGATTATGGGGTGCCCCGTAAGGATATGGCATTGGTGGTGGCGGATTGATCCAGCCGTTGTTAATACGTGGAGGGGGTTCAAAAACACGGCCGGCGTTGACTGGCGAGAACGTGGCTGGGGGTGGTGCTGCGACAATGGTATTGATGGGCATGAATGAGATATTTGCAGGGGGTGCTGGTGGTATGTAATTCCTAGGAGTGAGAGTCTCGGGGTTTGCACTAAGAGATGTTCGAAGCTTGCTGGAGGTACCCTTCTTGGTGCCCGCGGCAATTTTGTCTTTTTCGCGTAATCGCAAGGTAACACCATACCGCTTACGAATAGTCGACTTCTTTGAAGCATTGCCATTCTTAGCTGACTGTAACCGCTGTTCTTGTTCCTCTTGCGGCAATTTTAAGATCTCCTCTTGAAGCGCTCTGTGACGAGCATCCTCTTCGTCAATTTCTCTATTCATGGCAGCCAACTTCTCCGGCGGTAAATCTTCTGGTGGATGACGGACATCGCGGTCAGATCGTTGTTTACGAGAGCCCGAGCTTGGAGGAGTACTTGATTCTGCGCCAAGGTCATTAAACACTGTAGTTTTATTGAGCGGAGTGCTGGAACCGGAGTGTAAGTGGCCATTTAGGGGGACTGATGGAGCAAAGTCTTGCTGGAAACCTGTTGGCTGGTCAGTAGATTGGCGGCGAATCTTACTGATGCTACCAGATGAGGACGAGGTGCGGATAGGAGGTCTCGGCGTCGAGCGCGGAGTGTTATTTTTACCAAGTTGAGGACTTTCCATGGAAGGATCGGATGGAGGTTGGATCTCGCTGTTCTCGCAAACATGTTTCAGGTTGTGGTACTCTCTCCCTTGCTTTGTGGTAAAACCTTGCAGACAATACTCGCAGACCCATTTCCACCCAGTCGCAGGAGCCACTTTCTCACATATACCTTTGAATGTATGGTAGTTGTATCCGGACAAACTCGTGAACGACTTTTTGCACAGTTGACAGACCATTGGCTGACGAAGATCGGTTGGTGGTAGTGGTTGAGGTACATGTGGCGCTGGTCTCATTGGAAATGCTGGTGTTCCCAGCGCGTTGATAACCTCCAATGCTTCCATTTCTTCCCCTTTTGATAGAGCAGCCGGGGGAGCGTTTGCGGGATTCGGAGCCACTCTTTCGTCAACGCCAATCAAATCATCGTTTCTATATCCTAATCGTCCAGCGCTAGCCAGCCAAGTGACGAGTTGCCTTGATTCCACCGTCGCAATACGACCCGCAACAGCTTTGTCAATGAACGCCTCCGGCAAAGCGCTAAAAAGCTCCTCTGGAGACATGTGCTTCGCGAGAAGAGGTACATGGTCGGTGTCACTGACAATGGAGTTGATGACCACTTTGTTCTCTACGGCGGCTTGGAGCATAGGTCCCTTGAATAGTCCTCCATCTCTAGCCACCCTCTCCAAGACCTCCAGGTTGGCATTCTTCAAGACCGCTCGAAGCACGAAACTAATATGGAATTCGTCGTAATCTTCAAAAATGAATCTTCTCCATTTGGCGTGAAGAACAGTCCTTGCCGCCTCTGGAGAAACATCATCCACGATCTCCTGCAATCGAGCAACTTCCTTATGAAATCTGACATTTTTAGCAGCGGCCTTGGAAGGTGATACATTGTTGTCCTCCTCCTTGATGCCATTTCTCTGGCCGTTGGATCCGCTCTTGATGCTCTGGGAAGGAGTCCGGCCACTCCTGCTCATCGAAGGTGACGTTGCAATGTTTTGAGTGCCATTGTTGGTCTGGGGCGAAATTGAAGATACATTCGTGATTCGGCCATTCATCTGGTGAGCTTCACCATTGACACGTGACGCATCATTTTCTTCGCTTGTGTCGCGTCCGGAAGGCGCGCTCACGTCCAGCATCTCAGAATCCTTACCAACGGACGCCATCTTGAGACGATCGCACCGTTGCGCATCAACATCCGTCGTAGGTGCCGTCTAATTAGTTTGATGCTGTCTATGTGACGTCGCTGCCGAGTCAGAGACGCGAAATTGGTGAAGGTCAACAGAAACCGATGATGAAAGTAGGCAGTGGACCTCAGACTGAAAAAGACTTTGAAACCTGTCATCAAGAACATTAGTAGAGCGTAATTAAGATTAATGCGTCATCAAAAGTGAATGCATAGGCCGAAAGGAGAAGCGCGTAAAAAATCTCAACTTATCGCATACCTGGAAAGTGCGATCATTCGCAGCGGGCATAATTAGGTGCGCATCTCCGCGAATAGGATGCGTGTTGCAATCAATGCGTCGAGAAATGTGTTAGAAAAGGATGTAGGAGGGCACAGGGATTTAAAGAGTATTAATAAGACTAGATTATAAAAGTCAAACCACGCTAGCGAGCGAGACAGTTTAATGCGCTAAGAATAGCTCCATTCCAGAAAAGGCAATAAGAGTTGGCTGCTTTAGTTCCTTCCTATATGGAATAATGTAACCGAGTCAATTGAAGACGTAAGCGAGGAGCTAGCGCCCCTTTCTAAAACTCGTGATTGCTGCCTTAGGATATAAAGCCCACGGAAGCGAACGTATTAGAGATAGTGCGTCGTACGTTGTGAGATTATCAAACACAGATTTGTATTAATTGTGGATCTTTGATGTAATTACCCAGATTTCAAACTCTGTTGATGAACGCAAATTTATTTGGTTTGCGAAAGTTGGATTTTACCAAACTTGTGCTTCTTTCCAATTGTAAAACTACCTGAACGTGGGAATGCTTACACTTGTGAACCAAAATTTGATGATTACTAATATTGATAACACTTTTCCATCCGTGGACAAGTTATAATATCAAAACATCCCCACCTGCACTCTCATCATGCTGACCTCGCTTATTAACTATCTCACTCACTGCATTTACACGTACATCGCAGCTAGAATTGTGAAGACTCAGAATTTACTATAAAGGTATGAAATATAGAGGCAGAAATAGGCAATGGTTTGTAGATTACCCATAACTCAATAGAGTTTTGGTTCATCATAGCTGCATTTACAAAACCATAGAAATAAAGGTTTAATTGCTGGCCTCGCGGGTTGGAGAAAAATCTGCTTCCCTGCTCATAATTGTCACATATATGACAGAAATGAGTCTGGTCGGCAATCGATGTTACTTAGCGCGCCCTCTCTTGTTGTTTTATTTGCTCTTCAGAAATTCTAGAGACAACTTGTAGCTCTTGGGTGATCAGGTTAGGTACATGCTTTATAGATTTTTCGTGTTCAAATAACAACTTATGTAACATGTGTGAGAAACAAAATTATCTGCTCCCGTCTTTCACTACTCTGAACATAGCTTTGCCTTACCTTATCCACACCTCATCCCAACATAGATGGTACCTCTATTGACCGTTAGAAATAATGTCGTTAGCTTGGGAAAAGTACAGCCTATGGTCACTTCCAAGAATATCTCCATTCCTTACTTAGTGTAAAGTTATCATTATTTAGCTACCCTTGGATTTTCCACCCGAAAAGAAGATAATTATGACTGCGCTTCTGATGACCATCACAGGCTTGAGGCACCTCGGACTCTAGCTCCGCGAACCCCACTTCATGCCTTGTTCATCCAGCGTCCATTTCCCCGTGATCATTGCTCTTATCTCCATCTACTCATAAATACAAGCAACAAGTAATTTCTCATAATCCCCCATCGTTTCACCTTGGATTCGTGACTTCAGAGTCGTTCTGAATTTGTGCTGGAAAGCACGCTTTACCTGGTCCATATGATTCCTATCCCAATGCATACGAATAACACGGTTTGTAAGGAGAGCGTCTTTGGTCCCAGCCCCAGCCATTGCATCTTCTAAGAGGTAAGCGTCGCGTAGAGCTTTGTCAGTGCCAGAACGTAGTTGATGAATCAGTGCCATTTCCATATGGCCGGAGAACTCCTGTTGAAGAGGTTAGAAGGGAAAGGGGTTTGCTTAGTGCAGACGTACTGATTTTATGACCGATTCTAGACTCTTACGAAACTTTGCCTCGTAAGTTCTGGCTATTTCGCGAATCTGATCATCGCTACGTTGCGTGAGGATATTGCAAACTAGTATTTCGTCTGTACCCATCTTTCCTTCTGTTGCTTTGTAAAGCTCCATAACGTCCTGATCGATCTGTTGAGGGTTGATAGGGGCGTTCTCGTTCCTGTTCGCAGCCAAGACCATCATAAAATGACGCTCTGTCTTCATACTGAGGTCGCCCTTGACATCTGCCTCTAGACTCCTGCGAAATGTACTCTTATATGTATCTTTGATTGCTCGCATATCGGCGTTTGACCTGCCAAGCAGAACATCGTTCAACACCTTCTCCTTGGTACCGAGTCCTCTCATAGCGTTTTCGAGGAGATGCACATCTTGATGTAGAGGTCCCCGAACAAGCGCGCATAACCCTTCTTCGAACCACCCACTTGTCTCGCTTTGAATGTCCTTGATTAAAGCTCTTTGCTTAAATAAATCACTATACCTTTTGCGTAACATGTCTACCTGGTACGCGTCTTTTGTGGAAAGGACTCGAATAAGAGTTTTCTCGTCGGTGCCAAAACCTTTCATAGCTTTTCTCAGGGCTTCGGCATCGTGAGATGGATCATATGGTATGTTTGCTACCGCTCCATAACCTGGTGATGGCGGGAGCGGGTAACCCTGCGGCGGCCCATACTGATTAGGAGGAGGGGCTCCGTAACCTTGATGGGGTGGTGCACCATAGGGTTGTTGCGGGGGGGCTCCGTAAGGCTGCTGAGGGGGAGGCTGATTGTAACCACCTTGAGGAGGATATGGAGAATTTGAAGGAGGAGGATATTCTGCGCCAAATCATCAGCCTTTGTT